TCGAGACGGGCGCGGTCGACTACGGCATCCTCGCCGTCGAGAACTCGCTGCGCGGGAGCATCAACAAGGCCTTCGACCTGCTCCTCCAGCACGACCTGCGCATCTACGGCGAGATCGTCGTCACGGAGGGCCCGCTCGACTACACGCGCTTCCTCGTGCTCTCGACGACGGACGCGGCGCCGCCGCTCGCGCGGCCGAAGACGTCCCTCGCCTTCGCCGTCATCGACCGGCCGGGGGCCTTGGCCGAGGCCCTCGGCGAGTTCGGCCGCCGCCAGGGCAGCAAAAGAGAGCGAAATTCCCAACTTCAAAGGCTCATATCTCGGCCGTTTTCCACTCGTTTCGGCTGATTTTTGGACGAGCGATCATCTCTCGGAACGGTCTCGAAGCGTGGATGCTTTTTCCGGAACGCGCGCGCGCGGAACACTCACGTTGAAGCGACGTTGAATCACCCTTTTGCTGCCCAGGCCGCCGCGGCATCAACCTCCTCAAGCTCGAGAGCCGGCCGCGGCGGCGGACGACGGGCGCGGGCTTCACCTACGTCTTCTTCCTGGGCTTCGAGGGCACGCTGCGCGACGAACCCTGCGTCGCGGCCGTCAAGGCGCTCCTCGAGCGCTGCGCCTTCGTCCGCTTCCTCGGGTCCTACGACGCCGCGCCGCCCGTCGAGCGCGAGGGCTCGGGGAACGTCGCGGACCCGGCGCTGCTGCAGATCTAAGCGGACGAGGGTGATTCGAGGCGCCGCCAGGGACTGTCGCGCTCGGGTAGGCAGGCGCGGGCGACGCGATGTCGATGTTTGACTCGCGTTGAAGTCACTCGAAGCCGAGGCGCCAAGTGAGAGCGTCTTGTCTGTTGCGAGAGCACCATGTCGACCGTGGACCCGCTGCGGTCCGGGGCCATCTTCCGGTGCGACATCGAGAAGATCCGGTCGCCCCTGCCGCGCGCCGCGGGCCACGCCGGCGCCGCCGGCGCGCCGCCGCCGGCGCGCGGCCCCGCGGCGGCGCTCATGGCGGCGCCGGCGCCCGGCGGCCGCATCAGCTCGGACTTCGCGGACCTCATCGCCATGAGCCCCGTGCCGCACTCCGTGCGGCCGCCGGCCCGATCCCTGCCGCCGCCGAAGAACGCGCCGACGAAGGTGACGGCGGGCTCGCTCGGCGTTCTCAAGGTCCTCGGCCTCGAGGGCTCGCCGCGCGCGCAGGCGCTCCAGGGCCTCGGCGCGGCGGCCGAGGTGACGCCGCCCAAGGCGCCGGCGCCGCGGTGCGACGCGCGCGACTTCAAGTCCGCGGGCCGGACGCCGCGGCCCGCCGGCGGCGGCGGCCTGCTCGCCGGCTACAAGGCGCCGCCGGCGAAGAAGGCCAAGAAGCGGCCGGCGGCCAAGGCGCCGCCCCCGACGCGGGCGCCGACGCGGCCCGCGGAGGCGACGCCCGAGAAGGCGGCGCGGCCCGCCGCGGCGACGCCGCCGGCCGCGGCGACGCCGCCGGCGCGGCCGCCGGCCGCGGCGACGCCGCCGGCGAAGAAGCGGCCCGCGGCGACGCCGCCGGCGAAGAAGCGGCCCGCGGCGGACGACTACGACTTCCCGGGCCTCCCGAGCGACGACGAGTTCGGCGACTTCGTCAGCGCCGCGGCGCGCGGGCCCCGGCCCGCGAAGAAGCGCCGCGTCGCGCCGCCGGAGCCGCGGAAGAACGCGCCCCGGGAGGCCGCGTCGCCCAAGAAGGCCAAGGTCGCGTCGCCGGCCAAGAAAAAGAAGGCCGCGCCCGCGTCGCCGGCCAAGAAGCCCAAGAAGGCCGCGAAGAAGACGACGGCCCCGTGGCCGACGGCCGCGCCGACGCGCAAGCCCGCGGCGAAGAAGAAGAAGGCGCCCAAGGCGCCGCGGGCGCCCGCCGCGGCGGAGGTCGCGACGCCCGTCGTCACGACGACGCGCAGCGGCCGCCGCTCCTTCGGCGCCCTCGACTGGTGGCGCTCGGAGCGCATCGTCGTGCGGCCCGGCGCCGACGCCGTCGTCGTCGCCGGCAGCGCGGCCGCCGAGGACTACCTCGGGGCGGCGAAGTCCTTCTGAGGAGTGTGACTGTGATGTAAGCCTGTGTTCCCCTGTCGACAAAGGCGCCGCCCCCGTAGGAGATGATGCACTCGATGTTGCATTTTTGAACGTCTTCTGAATCGAGAGCATCAAGAATAATGATGGCCGCGTTGCTGCTACTCGGCTGCCTCCTGGGCGGCGCGGCGCGGCGCGACGGTTCCTCCATGCCGAGCGCCGCGGCGCGGCGCGATGGTAACTCCATGCCGGGCGGCGTGAAGCTGTACGAGCGCAAGATCTATTCTATCGACCGGAGCTGGCGCTTCTCGTTGTGCGAGGACGACGCCTGCGCGCAGGGCAGCCCGGCGTCCTGCCCCGAGGGGGCCTGGTGCGCCGCGAGCCTCGACGACGACGCCTGGCGGCGCGTCGACGTGCCCCACGACTTCGTCGTCGAGGGGACCTTCAACAACGAGAGCGACATGGCGCACGGCTACCTGCCCTACGGCGTCGGCCTCTACCGGAAGGCGCTCGCCGTGTCCGCCGCCGAAGCGAAGGCCATCCGCGACGGGTCCCTCGTCGCGCACGTCGAGTTCGACGGCGCCCAGACGTCGACCACGGCCTACCTCAACGGGTCGCTCCTCGGGACCCACGGCTCCGGCTACACGAATTTCCGGTTCCCGCTCTCCGGCGACCACGCGGAAGCGCTCGCCGCGGGCGCGGTCCTCGCCTTGCGCGTCGACGCGACGCAACCCGACGGCTGGTGGTACGACGGCGGCGGCATCTATCGCCACGCGCGCCTGCTGCTGACGCCGGCGACGCACCTCTCGGTGCTCGGCGGCGCGTACCTTCCGTCGACGGTCGCGGGGCCGATCGAGGCCGGCGTCGCGGACGCGATCGTGTCGCCGCGCATCGCCGTCGCGTCGACGTCTCCCACGGCCGAGCCCTTCGAGGTCACGGTGACGGTCGCCGAGGCGGCGACGGGCCGCGTCGTCGGCTCGGCATCCGCCAAAGGCGCGACGACGCCGCCCGTCGGCCCCTCGGGCGCCAACTTTACGACGCTGGACCTGCCCCCCGTCGCCGTCGCGCGCGCGGCGCTCTGGAGCCCCGAGTCGCCGTTTCTCTACGACGTCACCGTCGAGGTCGCGACGGCCGCGTCGCGCGACGTCACGACGCACTCCATCGGCGTGCGCGACGTCGCGTGGAAAGCGGACTCGGGGCTCTGGCTCAACGGCGCGCCCTACAAGATCCGGGGCGCGGCGAACCACCAGGACTTTGCGGGCGTCGGCGTCGCCGTGCCCGACGCGCTCCAGGCGTTCCGCGTGCGCAAGCTCAAGTCCATGGGCGCGAACGCGTGGCGGACGGCGCACAACGCGCCGACGCCCGCGCTCCTCGACGCGTGCGACGCCGAGGGCATGTTGGTTTGGGATGAAACGCACCGAAATGGGAACCCGGGCGAGCAGACGCGCCTCGTGCTCCGGGACCGGAATCACCCCTCCGTGGTCATCTGGAGCATCTGCAACGAGAAGCTCTGCGAGACGAACGACACGCTCGGCGACGGCAAAGCCGCGGCCGCGCTCTACCGCGAGCTCGACCCGTCGTTCGGGCGCGCGGTGTCCGCGAACTACAATCCCTGGCGGCCCCCGGACTATCCCGGCGACGTCGTGGGCATCGACTACGCGACGAGTACGTACGACGCCGAGCACGCGAAGAACGCGTCGATGCCCTTCATCTCGAGCGAGACCTCGTCGGCGGTGTCGGACCGCGGCGAGTACGCGAGCGACGCCGTCGCCGCGCACGTCGCGGGCTACGACACGACGGCCCCGACCTGGGGCGAGGTCGCGGAGGACGCCTGGGGCGGCGTCGGCGAGGCGGACGCGCAGGGCATCCTCACGCGGCCGTTCGTGAGCGGCGGCTTCACGTGGACGGGCTTCGACTACAAGGGCGAGCCGACGCCCTACTCGTGGCCGAACGTCAACTCCCATTTCGGCATTTTGGACATCGCGGGTTTCGAGAAGGACCGCTTCTACTACTATCAGAGCGTCTTCAAACCCGAGGAGCCCATGGTGCATCTGTTTCCGCATTGGAACTGGGCCGTCGAGGAAAAGGGGGCGCACCTCGCGGAGTGCGAAGGCCTCTGCGACGGCTCCGCGGTGGAGGTCTGGGCCTTCACGAACGGCCACTCCGCGGAGCTCACGGTCAACGGCGTCTCCCAGGGCGCGAAGCTCGTGCCCGCGCTGGGGCACGTGCAGTGGACCGTCGACTACGCGCCGGGCGCCGTCGCCGTCGTCGTCCGCGACGCACAGAACGCGACGGTCGCCTCGGACGCCGTGGAAACGACGGGCCCCGCGGCCGCGCTGCGCCTCTCCTTCAAGGACGGCGTCGGCGCCGGCGGCGTCGACGCCGACTGCGGCGTCGCCCTCGTCCAAGTGGAGGTCGTCGACGCCGAGGGCCGCGTCGTACCGACCGCGGACGCGAACGTGACGCTCGCGTCGTCGGCGGCCCTCCGCTTCATCGGCGGCGGCAACGGCGACCCGTCGGAGCACACCGCGGACAAGAGCGCGTCGCGCCCCGCGTTCCACGGCCTCCTCCTCGGGGTCTTCGAGGCCACCGGCGGGGCCGCGGCGGCGGCGACGGTCACGGCGACCGCGGCCGGCGTCGACGCCGCGGAGCTCGACGTCGCGATCGTCGAAAGCGACGCCGCGACCTACTGGTGCCCGCGCTACCCGGCGCTCTAAGTTAGAGCGTCGCCGACCGCGCGCGGCGGATGACGCGCGGCGGGAGCAGCCTGCGGCGGAACGTCTGCAGCGGGGACGAGTGCCGCTCGAGGGGCGAGCGGCCGCGCGACGACTCCGCGGCGAGCGCCTCGAGCGCGAGGAGGTGGCCCTGGGCCGCGGCGAGCGACCAGAGGTGGAGGGCGCTCGCCATGTCGACGTCGACGCCGTCGCCCTCCTCGTGGAGGACGCCGAGGTTGTACCTGCGAGAGCGCGTAGGTCATAGGTTCGTAGGCGAGCGACACCGAGGTTGCACTGCGCGTCCGCGTCGCCCTGGTCCGCGGCGCGCCGAAACAGCCGGGCCGCGAGGGCCGCGTCCCGCGCGCAGCCGCGGCCGTCGCTGACGCAGTAGCCGAGCCCGTTGAGCGCCGACGGGTGGTTCGACAACGCGGCGGCCTTCGCGAAGAGCCGCGCCGATCGCGCCGCGTCGCGGGGCACGCCGTGGCCCTTGCGGTACGCGTGGCCCAGGTTCACGAGGGCCGGGGCGTAGTCGCCGGCGGCCGCGTAGAAGAACGCGGCGGCGGCCGCGTTCTCGCCGACGCCGTAGCGGCCGGCGTGGTAGGCCTGGCCGACGCGCGCGAGCGCCGCCGCCTGCGCGCGCGCGACGGTTTCGCGAGAGCGAATTTCAAAGAATAGCGACGGTTTCGCGAGAGGGAATTGCGAAGAAGACGCCGCCTGCGCACGTCGCCGCGGGCCACGTTCTTCTCCAACAGCGCGAGCCGCGACGCGTCGTCGGACGGCGCGGCGGAGCGGCAGAGCGGACAGGATACGGCGTCCGGATACGACGCGCGTCGCAGCTGCTTCGCGCACTCGCCGCAGACGAACGTCGAGCAGCAGTAGAAGTACCGCTTCGCCTTCGCGCGCGGCGACAGCGTTTCGAGGCAGACGGGACAGGCGTCGTCCTCGTCCTCGCTGCCGGAGTCGGCGAGCATCTCGAGGCTCGCGACGAAGCGCGAGGATTCGCCGCGGCTTTCGACGAGCGCGCGCGACGCCGCGGCCCGCGCGAGATTCATCTCGAGGCTCGCGGCGCGCGAGGATTCGCCTCGGCTTTCGACGAGCGCTCGCGAAACCGCGGCCCGCGCGAGATTCTTCAGTACCGCCAGCTGCGCGCACGAGGCGGAGGTTCGGGCGCAGATGGACTTTTTATGATGTTGGCAGAAGAAGGACTCGCACGCACGGCAGCAGAGCGTCGCCGGTTGCGAGCACCGGGAGCAGGGGTTTTCTTCCACCTTGACCTTGGCGAATCGAATCGACTTTTTCGCGAAGCGCCGTCTCGCCCAGTTGAGAGCCTTGGAGACGTCGAACATTTCGTCAAAATACTTACAAAAACTCGTCCTGGCACCGCAGCTCGGCCTTGGATTCTCGTAGCCAAAAATTGCCTCTGCCACAGCTGGTTTGGCGAATAAGCTCGAGGAGGCGGGTCGGACGAGGAGGCAGCGCGGCGCGCGACGATTTTGATGGCTACTTCGGGGGCTATCTCGAAGCGCACGCGTCAGGGGCTGAAGCTCCAGGGTCCCGAGGCCAAGAAAACGAAGGGTGATGAGCCGCCCGCTCCTGAAGAGCGAAAGCCTCTCTCGGAGCGCTACGGGTCAGCTTGTCCGATATGCTGGGAGCCCTGGGACGTGAACGGTACCAGCTGTTTTTATTATTGCTGCTGTCGCATGATCTGCGAAACATGCGACGAAAAGATTCACGATGATGACCAGCGCGCGCCGTGCCCGCTCTGTCGGGCACCGTTTCCGCGGGACGACGCGCTGAGCAGCGTCCTGTGGCCGTGATGATTTAAATCATCACCGTCATGCTTGGTAGGCGCAGCTGCTGTCTATGATTCGTGGGCACGTGGATCGCGCCGTGCCGGAAGCGATCACGCAATTGGCTTATCAATATCGCGACGGTGATCTAGGCCTTTCAAAAGACCTGAGGATGGCCGCGACGTACCTCAAGCGCGCTGCGGGGCTCGGGGATTCGGACGCGATTTTGGAACTCGGGACCATGTACGAGGATGGAGACGGCGTCAGGAAGGACATTCGAAAGGCGATGCAGCTCTATCGAACGGCCGCGGAGCTGGGCGAAGCAAACGCGCAGCAGAATGTTGCACTGCTGCTTGTTAAAGAGGGAGAGCATAACGCGGTGGAGGCCGTGCACTTCTACAAACTCGCTGCTGCGCAAGGGCTGACGGAGGCTGAGTACAATCTTGCCACTTGTTACGAGGAGGGAACAGGCGTGGACGTCGACTTGGAGGAAGCCAAACGCTGGTACGCGCGCGCAGCAGAGAAGGGCGATACCGATTCGGAGGTTGCCCTCGGCTTATGTTACGATGATGTTGGACGCGGCGTCGACGTCGACTTCGAGGAAGCTAGACGCTGGTACGCTCGCGCGGCCGCGAAAGGTGACCCTCATGCCCAAAACAACCTTGGCTTCTTGTATCAAGAGGGGAACGGCGTGGAAGTAGATTTCGACGAAGCCAAGCGCTTGTACGAGCTTGCAGCGGCACAAGGCGACGATTTCGCCGAGTGCAACCTCGGCGATCTGTACGCGGATGGATTGGGCGTCGACGTCGACCTCGAGGAAGCGAAGCGCTGGTACGAGCGCGCGGCCTCCCAAGGCAACGAGGAGGCCATCGCCAGTATCCCCAAGATCGAGCGGAAGCTCGTGCGTGCCGCGGCGCGAAAGTATCTTCTCGCCGTCGGCGGCGACATGGACGCGGCCGTTGAGGCCCTGCGTCACGCCGAGTCGGAGTCGGAGTCGGAGTCGGATTCCGACTCCGATGATGATTCGTCCTAAGCACCTTACGACGCCTTCTCCGGGCAGGAGAGGAGGCGGACGTAGGGCGTCGCGTCGTCGCCGCGGGAGCGGGAGCGCTCGTCCTTGGCGGACTTGGCGTCGATGGCGTAGGCGAGGACGGGCTTCGTCGGGTGCCAGGCGAGGGAGTTCATGGCGTGCTGCGCGTCGATGGTGTGGACGAGCTCGGCGGTCTCCGCGTCGGCGATGTCGATGCCCGGGTCGTAGGCCGACGACGCGACGAGCTGGCCGTGGGCCGAGAACGAGAGGCAGCGGACGGGCGTCGTGTGGCGGAGGATCGTGCGCACGGAGATCATCTCCTCCAAATCCCAGAGCGAGACGATGGAGTCCTTGGAGCCCACGGCGAGCTTCGGCGGCGTGCTGTCGGCGTCCAAAGCGACGCAGTAGCAGTCGTCCGTGTGCGCGTGCATGGTCCAGATGTTCGCCGGGTGGCGCGGCTTCTCGGGCTTCTCGATTTCCGGGTGGTCGTCGACGTCCTGCGGCGTGGGGCCGACCTTGAAGACCTCCGCGGGGTCGGCCTCGGGGCCCAGGGGCCGCACGACCTCGACGCGGCCCTTCTCCGTCGTCAGCAATAACGTCCGCGCGTCGGGCGCCCAGACGAACTCGTTGACCTCGTAGGCGAACTTGAGGCGCTTGACGACGGCGTGGGTCCTAGCGTCGATGATGGACACGTAGTCCTTGACGTCCGCGTCCTTGGACCCGGAGCCCACGGAGGAGCCCACGGCGATGTGCTGGCCGCAGAGCGACCACGCGATGTTGATGTACTCGTGGTTCGTTTTGACGCTTGCGACGCACCGCGTCGATTCGCGCAAATCCCAGAGCCGCACGGCCTTGTCCGCGGCGAGCGTCGCGAGCGACGTCGGCGTCGTCGGGTCCCAGCAGAGCTGGACGACGGAGTCGCCGTGCTGCTCGAGCTTGTGCGCGCACTTGTAGCCGTCCTCGCCCGCCCAGACGCGCGCCGTCTTGTCGTCGGAGCCGGAGGCGAGGAGCGCGCCCGTCGCGTTCCACTCGAGCGAGTTGACGTTGCGGCCGTGGCCGGTCAGCGTCGTCGTCGTCGCGTTCTTGAAGTCCGGCAGCGCGCGGCGCGTCTTCTTCGGCGGGCCCTCGATGATCGGCGGCTCCGCGGCGAAGATGTAGTTCGGGTCGCTCCGGTAGTCGCCCTCGGGCAGCGGCTCGCAGGGGATGGGCTCCGGGTACGGCGGGCGGCCCGCGTCGACGGCCGCCGCGAGCTCGGGGCTCCAGAGCGCGCGCTGCCGCCGCTCGAGCTCCGCGCGCGCCGCGACGGCCTTCGGGTTGTCGTTGTCCTCGCCCTTGGGCCGGTCTCTCATGTTCTGCTGGTACGCCGGCAGCGGCGCCGCGGCGGGCGCCGCCGCCGCGGGCGCCGCGGCGGGCTCGTCGACGTCCATGGCCGGCGCGGGCGCCGCCGCGGCGTCGTCGACCTCCATGGCGCTCATCGCTGCGGGTCGCGGTGCTCGCGCGGTGCTCGCGCGGTGCTCGCGCGGTGCTCGCGCGGTGCTCGCGGACGGCGCGAGTGGCGGATCGCTGCTCGGCGACGGCAGCTCCGACCTTTGACCACCTCTGTGGCAGCGGCAGTCGTCGTCGTCGTCAGCCTGCAGCAACGCGGTCGCCAGCGCGTCGGCGTTGCACAAGAACACCATCAGAACACGAATAACTCAAAGACTTGCAAAACAACAAAGATGGCAACTTTTGACGCTGCAAACACAGCGACACCGCACATCGCCATCGTCGGCGGCGGCATCACGGGCACCGTCGCCGCATCGCAGCTCTCGCAACTGCTCCCGAACGCACAAATAACGCTCTTCGACCAGGGCCGGGGCCTCGGCGGCCGCGCGTCGCACCGGCGCGTCGTCAAAGCTACCGGCAAAGTCGCCGCGCCCGACCATTCAGGCGAGAGCTACTTCGCGTGGGACCACGGCGCGCAGTTCTTCCGCGGCGACGACGCCGAGTTTCGGGAAACGATCTTACAGGACTGGCTGGACCGCGGCGTCGCCGCGGCGTGGGCGCCGAAGACCGCGGCGCTCGGGCCCGACTTCTTCGGCGTCGGCGGACCGGATGCAAGACCGGTCTACTGCGGCGTCGGCGGCTTCCACGCGCTCACGTCCGGGGCCATGGCCCAGCTCGTCGCGGAGCGCGGCGACACACTCGTCGTGCGGTCGGGCGTCCGCGTCGGCGGCGTCGAGCGGTCGGGGCCGCGGTGGACGCTCCGGGGCGTCGGAGGAGACGCGGCGATCCACGACGCGAAGCTCGACTCGCGGGCCGTCGAGGCGGTGCGCGCGGCCGAGTCGCTGGGGGCCTTCGACGCCGTCGTCGTCACGGACGCGTCGGCGGCCATGGACGGCTGGCACCGCGCGTCGGCGGGGCTGCCCGCGGAGTTCGTGGAAACCGCTGCGAAGCGCGTCGCGGACCGCGTGCGCGTCTGCCTCTTCACGGCGCTGGTGGCCTTTGAGACGAAAACGACCCTCGACGTCGACGCCTGCACCTTCGACGGGACCGGCGGCCTCTGGTTCGCGGCGAAGACGTCGTCGAAGCCCGGCCTGGAGACGCTCGAGCACGAGACGTGGACGCTCGTGTCGACGCCGCGCTGGGCCGCCGACGAGGTCGCGCGCGTGCCCATGCGCGACGCGACGACGGGCCTGTTCATCCCCCAGGACCCGTCGTACCTCCGGGAGCCCGCGGCGGCCTTGCTCGAAGCGTTCGAAATCGCGGCCGCGAACTCGCTGGGCTCCGCGGCGCTGCCGAAGGCGGCCTACCTCACGGCGCAGCGCTGGGGGTCCGCGTTCCCGGCGCCGGCGGCCGCGGCGGGCCGCGACGACGCGGGGGCGGGAAAACACGCGCGCGACGTCGCGGGGACGGCCTACGACGCCGCGCCGCTGGAGGACTTCGCCGGCAACTTCGGCGCGAAGGCGACCTACGGCGCCGACGACTTCTGCGACGGCGGCGCCTCGGGGCTCTACTACGCCGGCGACTTCTGCTCGCCGCGGCCGCCGGGCGTCGAGGCCGCGGCGTTGTCCGCGCGCCACGCGGCCGTGGCCGTCGCGCGGCGCTTCGGTGCGTAAGCTTACCCTACTGGGGCGCCGCGATGCCCGCGCGCGCGCAGAGGGCGTGGGTCGCGGCGGACGTCGCGTGGGCGACGACGGGGTCCGACATGTGGTCCACGAGCGCGGCCTGGAGCTGGACGTAGCCGTCGTCGCCGTCGTAGCCCAGGGCCCCGCTGAGGTCCATCTGGACGTCGGCCATGGCCCGCTGGACGACGGCGAGCACGGCGTTCGTCCGGTCCGGCGCGTCGCTCGGGATGGCCGCGAGCTTCGCGCTGAGCTCGTCGCCGAGCGCGCCCGACGCCGACGCCGCCGCCGCCGCGACGCGGCCCGCGAAGTCGCGCGCCTTCTCCGCGTCGAGGGGCCGCGGCGCCAGCGCGAAGCCCCGCAGGAGCAGCTCGGCCCAGACGTCGGAATCCAGCGCCTTGAGCTCCGCGAGCGCGTCCGCGCCGGACGACGCCGCGGCCTGCCCCAGGTGCGCGCGGTACTGCATGACGCCCTCGGACGTCGCCGGGTAGCCGAAGGCCGACGCGCAGTGGGCCTGGGCGGCGACGAGCACCTGGAGCGCCTTCGTCCACCGCTCCTGCACCGGCGCCGTTTCCGTCGCGATGGCGTCGAGGCGCCGCCCGGACACGCCGTGGCGCACGAAGTCGAGCGTGATGCGCGAGCTGCTCAGGGCCTGCGCCGCGCTCAGGGACGTCGGCGCGGCGAAGTCGGGCACCGCCGGCGTCGACAGGAAGCGCCGGCCGAGGCGGACGAATCGAGCTGCCATCGTTCAGCGAGTTGTGGCCGGTCGGCAATTTGCTGTTCAACTTGAATGAGGACTTGAATGCCGACTTCCGGCAAGCTGCTAAAACAAGGGGGCGGGGGAGGCCGCGCGCGGGCCGCGTCAGCGAGTGACGACGTGGTCGTCGGCGCCCGCGTCGCTCGCGTCGAAGTTGCACACGACGAGGTTCCAGAGGGACCGGGGCTCGTCGACGTCGTCGCCGCCGTCCTTGCCGACGCCGCCGTCGGCGATGTCGACGAGGCGCACGTGGCGGACGCCGTCGGCGTCGACGGTCTCGCCCGGCGCGTCGTCGGCGTCGTCGGCGCCGGGCGCCGCCCGCGCGCCGCCCGGCGGGAGCAGACCGGGCGCGTCGCGCGCGTCGTCGCCGTCGGCGTCGCCGCCGTCGAGGTCGGCCCAGTCGTCGGCCTCGTCCTCCTCCACGGCGAAGACGATGTGGTGCTGCGTCGGCGGCGCCGGCGCCGCGGGCGCCGCCGCGGGCTCGTCGGCGGCGGCGGGCGCCGCGTCGACCCCGGGGTCCGCGGGCGACGGCGGCTCCGCGGTCTGGTGCGACGACGCGGACCCGGACTCGTCGAGGTCGACGTGCGCGGCCGCCGGCGCGGCGCCCGTCGCGCGCGCGGCCGCGCCGCCGCCGTCGCCGTCGTCGTCGCTGTCGGTCTCGATGGCGAACTCGATGGGCCGCGGCGGCGGGACCTCGAGCTCGAAGTTGATGAGCTTCGAGGACCGCTTGTCGTCCATCCAGCCGTCGTAGGCCTCGGGCGACAGCGCGAAGGGCGTCCGCGCGTGGTCGTCGAGGCCCTCGGCGAGCGCCGGGCCCCGCGGCGGCGTCCGCGGCACGTAGCCGCTGTCCTCGCGGTCGCTCTCGTCGACGGGCAGGTCGACGTCGACGTCGCAGGCCTCCTGGACCGCGTCCTCGGCCTCGAAGTGCGCGCTCGGCGGCTCGACGAAGAGCACGCGCGGCGCGGACGCGGCGCCTTCGTCGGAGCGGCTCCGCGGCGGCGTGGCCCCGCTCGACCGCGGCGCGGCGCTGCCGGAGCGCCGCTTCCGCGAGCTCGGCCGCTTCGGCCGCGGCGGCGGGCTCCGGGCCAGCAGCTTCTGCGCGCGCTCGAGCTCTGCGCGCGCGGCCGCGACCTTGCGCTCCAAAGCTTCCGTCTTGGCGCGCTGCTGGGGCGTCGGCGGGTCCCAGGACACGTCCTCGAACTCGACCTGGGCCTCCATCATGAGCACGTCGACGATGGCCGTCGTGACCGCGTCGAGCGCGTCGTCCGCCAGGGAGTCCTCGTCGTAGAAGACGACGGGCGACGTCGCCTCGAGGGCGCGCGGGGGGCAGCTCACGGTGCGCCGCTTCGGCGCGTCGGGCCTACGAAAAACGGCGCGTTTCTTTTCGGCGGTGTCGGGGGGGCGGCTCCGACGCGGGGTTCCCGCGTCGCGAGCTTCCGCTGGAATCGCGCGGACGCGCCGCCCCCGGCGGGCGGCGCGTGCGCCGGCGCGTCGGCCTGCTCCCGCCAGGCGAGGTCCACCTTCCACAGGTCGCTCTGGAGGGCCCGGCAGCTCTCCTCCAGCGCCGCCTCCTCGACGGCCAGGCCGTCGTCGGCCAGCACGGACATGCGCATGCCCTTCTTGATGGCGGCCTCCAGCGTCTTCTTGTCGAAGACGTAGAGCCCGGGGTCCCCGTTGCTCAGCCCCAGCTCCTCCTCGAGCACGCTCATGACCTGCCCCCCTCCCGCGCCCGGGGGCTCGGCCATCTTCGAAGGGCAGCCCCGGCACCCGCTTCCCTTTGGGGCAGCATTGCCGTCAAGGTTCAGCGAACATTGCCCGGGCAGTCGAGGGGCAGCTCTTCTGGCCTTGCATGAGAATTGTGTCGTCGTCGCGCACGCACAGCTCGCAGTGCTCGCGGTTGCGGCGGCCCGCGTGCACCCATGGTCCGGTCCATTGCGGTGCTGGCCTGGCTGCTGGCGTGCGCGTCGGCCATGGTGCCGCCGCCGCGCGGCCCGCGGCGGCGCATCCCACCACTGCGCGCGGCGAGCGGCTTCCTGGCATCGCGCAAGAACCGGCGGCGCGCGACCATCGCCGTCGGCGCCGCGCTCGCGGCGAGCCAGCTCCAGGGCGTCGCGCGGTCCGCGGGCTTCTGGGTCCGCGCGATGCCCATCTGGCTGAGGTACCGGCGCGTGGGCTGGCTCCGGCGCTGCGGCGCGCTCGACGAGGACGAGGCGGCGGCGGCGCTCGAGGCGCTCCACGAGCGCGCCGCCGAGGACATCCTCGCGGCGATCCTGCACATGCGCGGCGCCTACGTGAAGATCGGCCAGGTCCTGAGCTCGCGGCCCGACGTCATCCCGCGCGCGTGGGTCGAGAAGCTCAGCGCTTTACAAGACGACGTGCCCGGCCGCGGCGGCGCCGTCGCGCGGCGGGCGATCCGGCGGGAGCTCGGGGCGGCCAAGGCCGCGGGGCTCACGGCGGGGTTCGTCGACGCACAGATCGGCGCGGCGGCGACTGGCCAGGTCCACCGGTCGCGCGTCGACGGCCGCGACGTCTGCGTCAAGGTCCAATATCCCGAGGCGGAGCGGCTCTACCGCAAGGACCTGGCGACGGTGCGCATCTTCCTCCGGCTCCTCCAGCCGGAGTGGTCGCCGGTGATGGCGGAGATCTCGCGGCGGTTTCTGTCGGAGTTCGACTTCCGCGACGAGCAGGGTCCCGTGGCCGTGACGATTTTCGAGAGATTTGGGGCGGGAAAACAATGAGAAATCGTCACCGTCATGCTTGGTAGGCAACGAAGCGGACGCGCTCGGCGAGGTCCGCGCCAATTTACGATCGCGGCCGCGCGTCGACGACGTCGACGTCGAGGTGCCCGAGCCGCTTCCAGAACTCTCTTCACGAAAAGTCGTGACCATGGCCTACCTCCCGGACGGCGTCAAGCTCGCGGAGTGGGGCAAGAAGCGCTTCGGCGCCATTCCCTGGTACAACCCCTGGGCCAAGGTCGCGCTGCGGGGGCGGCTCCGGCGCACGGTGCGCGCGCTGCTCGCCTACCACGGCCAGGAGATCTTGCTCGACGGCGTGTTTAACGGCGACCCGCATCCCGGGAACCTGCTCGTGCTCGGCGACGACCCGCGGAGGATCGGGCTCATCGACTACGGCCAGACGACGCGCCTGAGCGAGCCGCGGCGGCTCCTGCTCTGCGAGCTCGTCGTCGCGCTCGCCGCGGGCGACGAGGCGCGCGTCGTCGACGTCTTCACGCGCGCGGGCTTCGCGACGCGCGACATGCGCGAGGACCTCATCTTCGAGTGGGCGAACCTGTGGTTCAACGTCGACTACGAGGGGCCGTTGAACCCCCAGTTCCACCTCGAGCAGCTCAACAAGGCCGACCCCGTGAAGGCCGTCCCCGAGGACTGGATCATGGCGAGCCGCGTCCGCTTCCTCCTCGGGGGGCTCGCGAAGCACCTCGACATGTCCTTCAAGGTCGCCGACATCTGGCGGCCCTACGCCGAGGAGGCGCTCCGGGCGAAGTAGGCCTTACTTGTGGAGCGGCAGGGCGACGGCGGCGGCGGGCGGCGGCGCGCGCGCCATGGAGACGACGAGGCCACCGGCGGAGAGGAGCCCGAGCGCGAGGACGGCGAGCGCCTGGCGGACGGGGTCCACGAGGGGCCCCGCGACGAAGAACGCGATGTTGCCGACGGTGAGGCAGAAGATGACGTTCGCCATGGACGCCTCGAGGAGTGGCGACCCGTGGAAGGCGCGGCCGACGGAGCCCCGCAGGAGCGAGTGCGCCGGGAAGTCGCTGAGGCCGAAGCACGCGGTCCCGACGAGCAGGAGGAGCCCGCCGGCGCTCGCCGCGGAGCTCTCGCTTTCGTCTCGCGCGAGGCCCGCGGCCGTCGCGGCCAAACCCGCCACGGACACGCCCGCGAGGGCGAGCGCCTTGGCCTCCGCGGCCGCGCCGCGCCAGTCCCAGCCCGTCGCCACGCAGCAGGACGCGGAGAGCGCGCCGTGGACAACGAAGGACGTCGCGATGAGCGCCGGGCTCATGCGCGCGGTGACGCAGCCCCAGTAGAGCCCCTCCTGCGCGCCGAGGTGGACGAAGCTCGCGGCCTTGAGCTGGACGTCGCGCCGCGAGAAGAGCGCCAGCGTCCGCGCGAGCTTCTCGCCGAGCGCGACGTCGTCCGCGGCGTCGTCCGATGCCGCCAGCGGCGGGAGCGCCGCCGCGAAGACGGCGACGGCGGCCCAGGACGCGAGCGCCGCGGCCCACAGCACGGCGACGGCGCCGAGGCCCGCGACGCCGATGAGGAGCAGGGCCGCGCCGAAGCCGAAGCAGCCCGCCGTCGAGAAGCGGCCCCAGAAGTAGGACTGGCACCGCTCGACCGCGAAGCCGTCGCGGCGCTCGACGGCCGCGCAGTAGGCGCCCTGCGCCGTCCACAGCACAGCGGCGCCGACGCCGCAGGCGCCGCCGGCGGCGACCGCGCACGCGCCGGGCGCGCGGCCGTCGGCGGCCGCGGCGACGACGACGTGGAGCGTCGCGTAGGCGGCCGCGGACGCGACCATGGACGCCTTGAGCCCCAGGCGCCGGCACACCGATGGCGAGACGAGCGTGCCCGCGAAGAAGGCGCCGTAGATGGCCACCAGCACCCAGAAGCCCGTCGTGCCCAGCACGGACGTGAGGAACTGCTGGAGCACGAGGAAGGCCGTGAAGAGCGCAACGAAGCAGCCCGAGAAGATGCGGAGCGACGGCGGCGGCGGGAGACCGTCGACCTTCTTCTCGTCGGCGAGCGGCGTCGCCTCGGCTGGCAAGGGCGCATCGACTGGCGGCGTCGCCTCTGCATCGGACGACTCCAGTGCAGCGGGCGCCGCCTCGGACGGGGCTGCGTCGCCCATCGCTCACAAGTTTCAGACAGTGCACATCAACGAGTGGTAACCTTTGGCTTCGCCGACCTCGTGGCGATCTCAGAGCATTGCCTGCAACCAGCTCCGTCGCGATGTTGTCGCGCGCCGCCGCTGCGCTCCTCCTCTGCATCGCCGGCGCGACTGCGCGCCCGAGTCCCCTCGCGCTGCGCGCCATACACAACGTAGCGCGCGGCGGCGCCGGCGACGCCGTGGCGCATCCGACGTCCTTCGAGGAGCTCAAGTTGCTGAGCGAGACGGCGGGCAAGCTCGTGGTCATCGACTTCAGCGCGACGTGGTGCGGGCCCTGCCAGAAGATCGCGCCCGTCTTCGCCAAGCTCGCCGAGGACGTGCCGGAGGCGCTCTTCGTCAAGGTCGACGTCGACGAGGTGCCCGACGCGTCGGCGCACTTCGGCGTCCAGGCGCTGCCGACCTTCCTCCTCCTCAAGGACGGCAAGGAGGTCGCGCGCTTCCAGGGCGCCAACGAGCCCGAGCTGCGCAGGCAGCTCGAGCTCAATGGCTGCCCGCCGCCGAAGAACGACATCTTCTAGCGGAGCGGGGCGCTAAGGCTCCCCCCCGGGATACGTGCCACGGATCGTCCCCGGGGTCTGTTATGAGTCTCCGCGCCGCGCGATGGTCCAGACGAGGGGCGCGGCGCAGGCGACGGAGACGACGCTCTCGCCGCGGCCGCCGTCGCGCGGGACGAGGTTCGACGTGGAGACGAGGTCGCCGAAGGCGAGGGCGCCGCCGTCGAGGTTCCACTGGAGGCCCGCCGTCGTGACCCACTCGCAGGGCGCGCCGAGGGGGACGAGGCCGCAGTGCGGGCCCTCGGCGTCGTGGCGGACCACAATCTCGTGGCTCGGGCCCGGCGCGAGCAGCGTCGCCGCGTTCTCGTCGGAGTAGAGCGCCATGGACGCGTCGCGGTCCCGCGCGGCGAACTTGTGGAGCGCGTCGAAGGCGGCCATCTCCTGGTCGAAGCGCCCGCCGAACGCGCCGACGACGCGGACGACCGCGGCGCCGCGGCGGCCGCCGCGCCAGCGCTCGGCCACGGCGTCGAGGGCCTTGGACAGGTCGTTGGCGTCCTGGTCCTCGACGCGCGCGACGGCCGCGCCGCCGGCCGCGTACGCCTCGAGCACGTCGCCGCGCGCGCTGTCGAGGTCGCCGACGATCGCGTCGGGCACGAAGGACGGCCCGAGCAGGTCGAAGAGTCGGTTCGCGCCGCCGTCGGCGCAGACGCGGTAGGTCGACGCGGCCCAGAGCTTCTCGAGCAGCCCGGCGCCGAAGGACGCGCTGTTGAGCACGACGAGCGCCGCCTCGTCGGTCGCCGGCGTCGGACTCCGCAGGAAGCCGTGGAGGTCGTGGTGCTTCGTCGCGCCGCCGCTGTAGGCCATCGCGGCGACCCTCGCGGCGCTCCTCGCGGCGACGGAGAGCGTGAGGGCGCAGCGCATTCGCTCACTGCAAGGGGCAACGTTGCTTATTGCGGCCGACCTTCGCCGAAGCGCCACAAGCGGATCACAATGGGGGGGGTTGCTCCGGCAACGTCGGCAGCGTCGCGCGACGGCGGCGTCTAAAGTCACGCTTTTTTGCATGCGCCGGGAGAGGTCCGGTGGCTACGCTCGCGTGAAGCAAGCTCTTTCTAACTCGACGATCTCGGCACAATATCCTCGAAAAAGGACCGCCTACGTACGAATACGCGCGTATACGCGCCAGCCATGCGCTGCGTATAGGTGCAGAACGGTCGCTTTTTGTGGTCGGGGCGACGCCCCATGACCCCTGGCGTCGCCCTGGACGGTTGGTGAGTGCCGGAGACGCAGTTTCGGTGTCGGTCCAAAATCCACCCTACGGGCCTCGTTCGTCCACCGCGCTCCTACGGACAAATCCGGCACAGCCGATCTCGCCACCATCGATGGCGTTGGACATGCCCCTTGGTTTCCTAGTCGACGGTACTATGAAGGTTCGTTCGCGCTCAAGATCGTGACTTTCGAGTACCGCGTCGCTGCGCTAGAGGGGTCGGCCGGGGCGCCACTGGCGGAGCAAACCCCCCCCTGATCACAAGCTCTCCGAGGCGGCGCGCGCTGCTGCGAGTCGCGCATGCGAAGCGCCTTTTCAAGCCTGCTGACGATCCGCGCCGTCGCGCTCATGTCGTCGACGCCCGTGAAACGACGCCGGACCGCCGCCGCACCAAATGCGACCCCGACGAAGAAGCGGGCGACGACGAGCCCCCACTTCTCCGGCCCCGCCAAGGGCAGCTTCGGCCCGCTGCTGTCGGCCACCGTGGCGCCGCACACGCTGCTCCTCGGCACGCAGCCGAGCGACAACTCGCTGCGCGAGGGCAAGTACTTCATGACGAACGCGAACGCGTTCTGGCACATCGTCGGCGACGCTTTGGGCTTCCGGCGGGGCTTCCACATCGACGGCCGCGCGGAGGCCGTGGACTTCATCCGGCCGCACTTGCTCCACGACGAAGCCGTCGACTACGACGAGGCCGTCGCGCGGCTCACGGGCGCGGGCTACGCGCTCTGGGACGCCGTCGCGGCGTCGAACCGGAAAGGCTCGCTCGACGGCGCGATCCGCGACGCGACGTACGCGGACGTGCGGGGCCTGCTCGCCGCGACGCCGAGCATCCGGCGCATCTGCTTCTCCACGGGCGCGGGCTCGGCGAAGATCTTCAGGAAGGGCAACGGCGCGTGGCTCGCGGAACCTGGCGCGTTCCGCTGCCGCGACGACGCCGTCTCCCGGGGCGTCTTCCCAAAGCTGCCCGTCGACGGCGACGGCGTCGAGCTCTGCGTCATGGAGAGCGTGTCGCCCGCGTCGAACCCGCGCCAGACCTGGTCCAAGGCCAAGCAGGCGGCCTTCGACGACGAGTACGCCGCGCGGCCCGCGGCGATCTACCCCTACAAGCGCAAGCACTGGTTCGAGGTCTGCTTCCGCGACGAGCTCGCCGTCCAGAAGGCGCCGCCCTTCGGCAGCGCCCCGACGGACTTCCGGCCCGAGGAGGACTAACTAAGAAGGTTCTGGAGCGCGGCCGCCGTGTCCGGGAGCCGCTCGAGGCGCGCCGCGTCGCCGCCGAGGGCGAGCGTCGCGACGGTCTCCTCGCCGCAGGTCAGCAGGAGCGCGTTGCCCTCGAAGTGCGCCGCGTGGAACGTCGCGACGGGGAGGCCGACGCCGATGCCGTGGAGCGGGTCCGGCACGGCCGCGTAGGACGTCTGCTCGTCGACGCGGTTCCATCGCCGCCCCGCGCGGAACCGGGCGAGGTCGGCGAACGCGGCCGACCCGCCGGCCACGCCGGCGCCGCTGTCTTTCACCGCGACCTCGACGCCGCAGTCCCTCGATGAAATGTGCACGCGCACGGGCGCCGTCGGGGAGGGCCCCTCCAAAGTCGCCCGAAACGCGTTCTTCAGCAGCTCCATCAAGATCTGCCCCACGTGGTGCGGCGGCGCGGTCGCCGCCGCGTCGAGGTCGCCCGCGAGCTCGACGGTCGGCACGGCGACGCCGGCCTTGACCGCGGCGCTGTCCGCGAGGAGCTCGACCTCGCGCGCGGCGTCGCGCACGCTGTCGGCGACGGGCAGCGCCGCGTGGATCGCGCCGACCTCGTCGCTCGGACCGGCGGCGCCGCGCCGCGCGGACGGCAGGTTCTCGAGGTGCGCCGCGTGCGAGGCCAGGTGGTGCCGGAGCAGCAACGCCGCGCCGACGTGCTGCCGCGCGACGGCCTCGAGCGCGCCGAGCGCGCTAGGCCCGCAGGCCGCCTCGCTGAGCACGTCGACGACGGACGTGAGCGTCAGCGCGTGGCGCGACTCCGCGCGCATGAGCTCCCGGTGCGCGAGCTCGAGCTTCGCCTCGGCGCCCACGAGCGGCGCGATGGCGCCGAGGTCGCGGAGCACGCCGCGGTGCAGGCCTTGGAGTGTTTTTAATGCCGAAAGCGGCGCGCCGCGCCGCTCGCCGTCGCCGACGAGCGCGTCGCAGAGCTCCACCTGCGACGACAGGCGCGCGACGAGCTCGGCGTGCGTCGCGGCGCAGGCCTCGACGGCCGGCAGCGCGCTGAGCCTGAGCAGCGCCGCGAGGCTCTGCGGCGTCGGCCGCGCCATCGACACTGTTGCGCGCTACGCTGTAGCACACAAATACACCGCTACGCTGCAGCGCACGAGTACGAGGCGCTCGCACAATTAGAGCCTCCCATGCTTGCTCGAGCCAAAGTTTCTGTGAAGGAGCAGCCCGGTTGACGTGTAGTAGGCCACCCATCATGGGCGCGCCGCGCGCGTTGATGGGCCTCTGCCGCGGCCCGACGCTCGACACGCAGCTCCTGAAAGCGGCCGTGGCCGCGGAGCAGGGGCTGCCGCTCCACAACTCCGTCGGCCTCACCGCTTTGCACTGCCTCTGCGAGAACGAGGCCGTCACCGCGGCGGCCCTCGAGGCCGTGCTGCCCTGCGGGCCCCGGGACCTCGCGCTGGCGCGGGATCGCTGCGCGACGTCGCCCCTGGACCTGCTCTGCCGCAACGGGGCCGTGAGCGTCGCGATGCTCGAGGTCGTGCTCGCCTGGTGCGGCCCGGAGCTCGTGGAGGACCGCTGCGGGTCGGCGCTCCACGTGCTCTGCGCGGCGCGCTGCGCGACGGCGGCGGCGCTCGAGGAGTTCCGCTCTCCGGAATATTTCAAAGCGCTCTGCACGCGCGCGCCGAAGGGCGCGTTCGTCGCCGGCGCGACGCCCCTGCGGACGTTCTGCGAGAACGAGGCCGCGTCGCTGGACGCGCTCGAGGTGGTCCTGAATTTCACGCCGAGCTCCATAGACGAGGTCGACGACGCCGGCGCCGGTCCCCTCCATTATCTCTGCGCCAACGCGGCGACGACGCCGGAGATGCTCCGCAGGTTCCTCGCGCATTGCAAGAGCATCCCATCCGCCATCGAGGCGGTCGACGAGGACGGCTGGACGCCGCTCCACTACCTCTGCCGGCGGCCGGGCGCGTCCGCCGCGCTCGTGCGCGCCCTCGTCGCCGCGGGGCCCGGCGCCGCGGCCGCGGTCGACGACGAGGGCATGGCGCCCCTGCACTACCTGTGCTGGAACGAGCGCGCGGAGCCAGGAGCAGTATTAGCATTGCTCGACGCGGCGCCGGACGTCGCGGCCCTGCGGGACGCCGAGGGCGCGACGCCCGCGCGCTACCTCGCCAAGACGCCGAGTCTGTGCTCCTTCGACCTGCTCAAGCGCGTCGCGGCGCGCGGCGTCGGCGACGCCAAAGTCGACGCGAGGCTCGTCGAGCTCAAGGACGCGGCGGCCGCGGCGCGCGTCGCGGAGCTGCGGGACCGCGTCGCGGCGACGGCGGACGCGCACGCCGCCGCCTGGCGGGCCCTGGCGAAGCAGCAGCTCGACCGCGGCGAGTGCGCGGAGTGCCTGCGGCTCTTCGCCGAGGGCGCCGCGCGCTGCCCCGGCAACTTCGCGCTGGCCCACCGCGGCGCGACCTTCGCGCTCTTCGCCGAGCAGACGGCGGACCGCGTCGCCCTCGGGCCCTTTGCCGTCGCCGCGGCCCTGGGCGAAGGCGACGTCGCGCCGGATCGGTCGCCGGACTACGGCGGCGACGCGCTCGCCGTCTACCGGGGCGCCGTCGCCGACGCGGGCGCGTGCCGCCGCCTCGGCGACGCCGTGGAGGCGGCGGCGACGGCCGCCTGGCTCGAGCGGCGCCGCGCGGGCGCGACGGACCACGCGGTCTACGACGTCCCCGCGACGGACCTGCCGGAGCCCGCGCGGGGCTACGTCCGCGCGCTCGTCGCGTCGCTCGCGGCGCGGGCGACGCTCCTGTTCCCGGGGACCTTCGCGGGGGCGCCGGCGCGCGTGCTCGACTGCTTCTTCGTCCGCTACGACGCGGAGCGATGCTTCGCGGAGATGCGGGACCACGTCGACGAGTCGGCGGTCTCCGTGTCGCTGGCGCTCAACGACGCCGGCGACTACGACGGCGGCGGCCTGCACGTCGCCGCGGCGGGGAACGTGCTCAACGGGCCGGCGGGGTCCGTGTTCTGCTTCCCGGGCGCGATCACGCACGGCGGCGTCGCGGTGACGCGCGGCACGCGGCGCATTCTCTCCCTCTTCCTCGTCCCCGACGCCAACCGGTCGGGCCTCCCGCCGGGCTACACCATGCACCGCGGGGACTAAAGGTGACATCGTGGATCTGCTAGATCCGGCGCCTAGCCTCGTAGTTCGAGGCCCGCGTGCGCGGCGAGGAAGCGGAGCGTGGCGTCGTCCATGGTCGCGTTCGTCGACGCGTCGACGACGACCTCGCAGCCGCCGCCGGGCTCGCGGACGGGCCGCCCCGTGCAGTTGACGACGCCCGTGTCGGAGCAGTCCGAATTGCAACACGCGCAGGAAAAGGTCGGGTCGTGGCCGTAGCCCCGGAGCGTCGTCGCCTCGCAGGGCACGCCGAGAGGGGCGAGGCGGTCGCAGAGCTTCGGCTCGTTCAAAGGGCTGATGGCGTAGTCCTCGGACCCGTGGAAGGCGACGACGGGCGAAAAGGCCGCGGTCACGCGCGACACGTTCGTCGCCTGCTCGAGGACCTCGAGGGCGTAGAGGCCGCCCCAGTGGCTCACGACGGCCGCGACGTCCGACGGCGTGTCCAAGTGGCCGAGCGTCGGGTCGACGCCCCGCAGCTCGTCGCGGTAGTCCTCGGGCGCGCCCGGCCCGAGGCTCGAGCCGAGCGCGACGGCGCTGCAGGCGCCCGCGGACGAGCCGTAGGCGACGACGAAATCCGGCGCGACGCCGAGGAGCCCCGCGTGCGCCTTGAGCCAGCGCACCGCGGCCTTGGCGTCGCGTATCGCCGGGTACATGAGGTCGAAGGCGGGCAGGAAGCCGTAGCGCTCCGTCGTGCCGTTGACGTCGTGCGTCGCGAACTCGGGCGCGTATTTGAAGTCGCCCGCGGGGACGAGGCCGTAGGCGCCGCGCGGGCGGTAGTCGAGGCTCGCGGCGACGAAACCGCGCGCCGCGTACCACCGCGCCGTAAAGGCCATGTTGTCTGACGCGCTGTCGCCGTTCACGTAGGACCCGCCGTGCATGAGCACGACCGCGGGCCGCCCGGCCGCCGGCGGCCGCGGCCCGCCCGGTCGCGGCGCGGGCGCGTAGAGGTCCAGCGTCACGCGGCCCCACTTGCCGCCGCCGTCGACCCGGCAGGAGCTCGCGTCCGACAGGTTCCGCGGCAGGCTCGCGTCGTCCGGCGTGCAATTCCAGGCCGTCTCGGCGTAGGCGACGCTCCGATTCACGGCCACGTCGAAGGTGGGCTGCCTCCAGGCCACCTGCGCCGCCGCCGGCGCCGCGCACAGGAGGGCAAGCCACCGGCCAGGGGCCATCACGCGGCCCGTAGAGCGCCGCGCGGGCAGACGAAGGGCAGCTCGTTCCGCAGAGCGCCGCTTCATACGAAGGGCGTTCCTTGTGCCAACCTTGCACTTCAAGTTGAATATCTCCGCGCATCGATATGGCCGCGCCTTTCAGCCTTGCTGCGCAGCTGCTCGCCGTCGCGCTGCTCGCCGCCGGCGCGCGCGCGCTCGTCGCGCCGCAGCGCGCTGCACCTCGATTCGTCGCGCTCCGCGCGTCGGCCGCGGCGACCGCCGAGCTGCGCGAGCGCGTGCGGGGCCTGCTCGACGGCCTCGCGGGCAACCTCGCCGACGGCGCGGCCATGCCGGAGTCGGCGGCGCGGCTCGAGGCGGCCTACGGCGCCGACGCCTACGACGCCATGTACGTCGGCCTGCTCGAGTGCTTCATGGACCTCAAAATCGACTTCGACATGGGCGACGACGACGACGTGCTGCGGCCGACGGCGCACGCGTGCACGGATCCCGCCGACGCGGTGACGCGGGCGAAGCTCGCGCCGCTCTACGCGCAGGCCATGGGCATGATCGACGGCAGCGAGCCCCAGGTGAAATTGGACATCTGGCGGCTCGTCGTCGACAAGCTCGCGGCGCGGGTGGACATGGAGAACCAGGAGTTCGGCGCCTGGGCCGCCGGCGTCCTCCAAGGGGGCTAAAGGTGTTAGTGCGGCGCGAGCCAGCGGGCCGAGTCGTAGAGCGCGGCGCTGCGGTCCGCGCGGCGCCGGAGCGCGAGCGCGAGGCCGAGGAGGCCGTCGGCCGGCGTCGCGCTCGGGCGGAGCGACGTGCCCCGGAGGCTCGCGGCGACGCAGCCGACGGGCGCGCCGAGCGCCGCGAGGCCCGCCAGCGCGTCCGACGCGTCGCCCGCGGCGGCGGCGACGTCCGGGTGGTCCGCGGGGAGCCGGTCGAGGCGCCGCGCGGCGAAGTGGAGCGCGTCGCCCCGGAGCCGCGACGCGTACGCTCGCCAGGGCGTGGACGTCGCCGGCGACGGCGAGCGCGCGGACCTCGAGGCGCCGGTTCCGCGTCGACCGCGCCCGGTCGGCGACGAAGCGCGCCCGTTCCAGTAATTCCGCCGCGAGGCGCCGGTGCCGCGCGCCGGCGACGTCGTTCGCCGCGGGGCCCTTGGCGAGATCCTTGGCGCGCCGCTGCTCGAGGGCGGCCTGCTTGGCCTCGAGGAGCGGGATCGCCCGCGATATCTTCTCGTCGAGGTCGTCGAGCGGCTCCGGCTCGAGGCCGTGAGCGCGCGCCACGAGGCCCCGCGCGCCGGAGCCGCCGGCGTAGTCGAGGGTCAGGGGCTCGCCCGCGCGCACGGGCCGCGCGGTCCAGATCTCCGCCGTGCCGTCGTCGGACGCGAAGTGGACGCAGTTCGGGTCGGCGGCGTCGTTGAAGAGGGACCGGTAGGCGTAGATGCCGCTCTCGAAGCCGTTGCAGCGCCAGACCTTGGCGAGCCGCGCGCGCTCGTCGCCGTTGGTGTTGGACCGGGGGTGGAGCCGCGCGACGCACCGCCGCGCGCCGTCGTCGCGGCCGCAGAGCGCCTGCAGCGCGTCGACGGGATCGCCGCCGTCGGCCGGCGGCGCGAGGAGGGGCTGCTCGACGAGAAGCAGGGCGCCCGCGGGCGCCGCCTTTGCGGCGACGTAGCCGCGGCCGCCACCGACGGCGACGAGGCCCGATTCGAGGCCCAGGGCCGGCGAGACGAAGACCGGCGGCTTCTCGGCGAAGAGGCGTTCGAGCTCCGGCGACGACCAGCCGGGCGGCGTCGTCCGCGGTAGGTCGAAGGGCGCGGTGGGTCCATGCGTCGGCGTTGTTGCTGGCAAGACGACGGGCGCGGCGGCCGCGAGGACAGCACTCATCGTTCGAGGCGGGTTCCACCCGTGAGGGCAGCCTTGATGTCATCGTTGAACCTAGATTCAATTTCAACTTTATATCTTCGCCTTCGGTGTCTCAGCGCGCCTGGGCAGGAAGCTCCTCAGCGTTTGCCCGGGCTCCTCGGCCGCCGTCGGCGGGCCGCCGGTCGCGACCCGGACCTCGGTCGCGCGGTCCGCGCGCGCCGCGTCCTCCGATCGCGCGGCTTCGCGCTCGCGCCGCGCCTCGCCGGCCTCGGTCCGACCGGACGCGCCGCGGGCTCTCGACGGCTCCGGAGACCTCGCTCGGGCACCCGTCGACGCGATGGCGCCGTGGCGGCGCGCGTCCAGCGACGACACGCGGAGCAGCTACAAGGTCCAGGACGAGGGCAAGGACTCGAGCAAGGACGACTCCCCGCTGTCGCCGTCCGGCCGGAAGCGGAGCGTGTCGAACCCCGAGGGCGGCGCGGGCGTCCGCAGGTCCGCCGGGGGCATCCGCGACTTCGCGAGCCGCGCGCGGGGCACGGTCGCCTTCGCCATCCCGCGGCGCGTGGGCATCGGGCGCAAGAAGATGGCGCCGCGCGTGTCGCAGATCGCGAGCCCGTCGTCCCGCCGGTTCTACGAGAAGGAGCTCGGCGAGGGGCGGACCAAGGGCCTCGGCGGCCTCCACTACATGATGCGCAAGGGCTCCGTCGAGGACGTGCGGAGCCGCGCGTTCAAGGACCGCGACGGCGTGCTCGATCGCTTCCTCTCGACGCGGCTCGCGCGGCCCGACGACGACCACGAGTCGGAATGGGTCGGCCATGGCCGCCAGGACGCGTCGGCGTCGAAGAAGGGGCGGGGCCTGTGGACCCAGTGTCTGATTGCCGAGGATTCGACGGCGCACCTCGTCTGGGACGTCATCGTCGCGTGCTTCGTCATCGCGTTCGTCGCCGTGGCGCCGTTAAGGTACGCGTTCCGCACGACGAACAAGTCGGACTTCACCTGGCAGCGCAACGGCTGGCTGCGGCTGGAGAATTTGAGCGACCTGGCCTTCATCGCGGATCTGTTCATCAACTTCCGGACCGCGTTCTACAACCGCGACGGCAAGCTCGTCACGAACCAGCGGGTCATCGCGTACAAGTACGTCATGGGCTGGTTCTGCGCCGACGCCTGCGCGTCCGTGCCCTTCTCCTTCTTCGCGGAAAGGGACGGCGAGAAGAACGCGGCGGTGCAGTGGATCTCGTTCTTGCGCTACTCGAAACTCCTCCGCGTCGCGCGGCTCGCGCGCATCTACAGCCGCTTCTTGCTGCTGTTGAACCCGGGGCTCATCCATCTGCTGCGGTTGTGCATGATCCTCATCTGCGCCTGGCACCTCATCGCGTGCATCTACTGGAAGGTCGCGTGCATGGAGGGTTTGTGCGACCCGGTGCGCGACTACGGCCTCGAGGCGGACCACTCGTACAAGGCGGGCAGCTCCGCCTGCCTCGACGACTGGGCGCCCTACGCGGGCGTCAAGCAGAAGAACCTGCAGACCCAGTACACCATCGCCATGTACTGGGCCATCCAGGTGACGACGGGCATCGGCGGCGACATCAACCCCGACTCGAACACGCAGGTCGCTTTAACCATCGTCGCCATCGTCTGGGGCCTGCTCATGTTCGCCTCCGTCATCGGCGCCATGTCGTCCGCCGTCGCGGCGTTGGACGCCAAGGGCATCCAGCGCACGCAGGCCCTCGACAAGATCCGGTCCTACATGTCGCGGCGGAACATCGGCCGCCAGGTGCAGAACGAGATCGTCAACTACTACTCCTTCCTGCTGAACGCGAACCACGACGACGACGACAGCATCGACCTGACGAAGCTGCCCGTGCTGCTCCAGATCAAGCTCGAGCTCGCGCTCAAGCACCAGAAGGTGAAGACGATCCCGCTCTTTCGCGGTCTGGAGCCCTTCGCGATTCTGACGATCGTCCAGAACCTGCGGTCCTTCATCGCGCTGCCGACGCAGCTCCTCTTCACGGCGGACACGCACGGCTCGACCATGTACGTGCTCGACCGTGGCTGCGTGCACCTGTCGCTGCCGCAGTCCATGGCGCGCATCACGATCGGGTCGCCGCACAAGGACAAGGCGAGCGACGACTTCGGCGCGCTGTTCCCCGCGGGCGGCCTGCGGCCGAAGCGGCGGAACCGGTCCATGTACAACATGTACGCGGGCGGCGCGGCGGGCCCGCCCGTCGGCGGCGTCCGCGACGCCGTGCCCAAGGAGGTCGAGGAGGCGTGGCGCCTCGCGCTCTGCGACTACGAGGCGACGAGCCACGGCACCATCTCCATCGAGGTGTTGAAGCTGCAGGGCGACTACTTCGGCGAGAACACGATGCTCGGCCAGGCGCACTACACGTCCGCGCGGTCCGAGGCCTACTCCGAGCTCTTCGCGCTCGGCTTCGAGAACATGGAGCACGCCGTCCGCGAGTTCCCGAAGCTCGCCGTGCGCTGCGCCCGCGCCGTGCAGATGCGCCGCAAGCGCGTCAAGGCCGCCATCTCCGTCTTCCTGGCCCGGCAGTACACCAAGTCCCAGGGCGCTTCGAAGGACGCGCCGTCGTCGCAGGGTCTGGTCATGTTCGAGGAGAAGATGAGCGCCGCGCAGACGATACAGACCTGGTGGGAGAACGTGAACCGGGATTTAGATGCAGAGGACATCCTGGACCTGAGCGACGACGACGGCGACGACGGCGGCGACACGAAGTTCAAGCGGAGCGACATCGCGAGCCTCCGGGACTTGAGGAAAACGTTGACGAACATCGCGCCGCCCGTCTTTTCCAAGGGCGCGCCGGCGGCGGCGTCCGACGCCGCGGTGAGCGACGCGTCGCCCGCGGCCGCGGCGGCCGGGGCCGTCGTCGAGTCCGCGGACGGGTCTTCCGTGACCATCGGCCGCGACGAGTACGCGAAGCTCAACGACCTCCTGGAGAAGCTCCACAAGTCCGTGGAGACGGCGGAGCGCGCCAAGACCGAGGCGCTCCGCGAGGCGCCCCTGGAGGACCACCGGCAGACGCTGAGCCGGCGCCGGACGACGCGGCTCTCCGTCATGCAGCGGTCGCGCATCGACGAGGACGGCGCCTACGACGCCGAGCCCGAACAGCGGACGCCGCGGTCCCGCGCGGGCACGCGCCAGGGCACGGGCTTCCAGCGGCCGTCCCAGTTCCCGCGCCACGCGACGGGCGTCGCGAAGCGGTCCATGGTGTCCGGCGGCGGCCGCCAGTTCGGCTCCGCGCCGGCCATGGGCAACCGCTCTTCGATCGCGGGCCGCGTCAAGGTCGTCGCGCCCCGGGAGGGCGGGCTGGCCGAGGTCCAGCCGTACCGGCGCGGCCCCGCGTCCGAGCTCGGCCTCGTCCACCCCGTCGCGGACGTCGAGGACGCCAAGGACGCCTAAGGAACCATATCAATTCGCCCGGCCGGAAGGACGTCTGAAAATTTCTGTTAGAGGACCCCTAGATCGTCGTCGCCTTGGTCACGAGGGGCGCGTCGGCGCCCGCGGGCGCCGGGGCGTCCTCGAGCGCGCGGCGCAGGGGCTCCAGGTCCGGCGCGAAGGCCGCGAGCAGGAACGCGCGCGTCTCCTCGTAGATCCACCGGGGCCGCGGCGAGTTGTGCTCGCCGTCGAAGGTGAGCAGCTTCGACGGCGCCGCGTAGGCCCGCTCCAGCGGCTCGCCGTGCGTCTTCGGCGGCGCGAGCACGTCGCGGACGCCCGACACGAAGAGCGCGGGCCGCGTCGCCTTCCTCGCCGCGGGCTCGCAGGACACCTTCATGACGTCGACGCCGCCCGTGCGCGACTTGACGCTCCGCTTCAGGCAGCACAGCAAGCACGCCACGCCGCAGCGCGGCGCCTTCGGGGCCACGCGCTTGACGACGTCGTCCGCGAGCGTCTTGAGGCTGAGGAACCTGGGCAGGAAGAGGGTGCGAAATTTCCAACTTTGGAGGCTCCTAGCTCGGTCGTTTTCCACTCGTTTCGGCTGATTTTTGGACGAGCGATCATCCCTCGGAGCGCTCTCGAAGCGTGGATGCTTTTTCCGGAACGCGCGCGCGCGGAACACTCAAGTTGAAGCGACGTTGAATCACCCTTTTGCGGCCCTGACAGGAACGGGCTGTCGAGGACGAGCGCGGACACCGCGGGGTCGTCGTAGGCCTCGCAGTACAGGAGCGCCGACGCCGCGCCCATGGACCGGCCCCAGAGCACGATCTGGGCCGCCGGGTCCCGCGCCTTGATCGTCGCGATGAGCTTCGCGACGTCCGCGCGCTCGTGGATGCCGAGCGTGACGACGTCGCCGTCGCTGATGCCGCAGCCCGCGAAGTCGAAGGCCACGAGCGTCGCGCCCAGGGACGCCGCCGTCGCGAGCAGCGGGCTCCGCACGACGGCGAGGCGGCAGCTCGAGTTGCTGTGCAGGTAGAGGATGTGGCGCCGCGTCGCCGGGTTCGGCGCCCACCGCGAGCACCGCAGCGTCTCCCCTCGGTCGTTGGCCACCTCGAAGTCCACGCGCTCCACGAACGCACCGTTGACGCGCTTGCAGGGCATGCCCAGGTCCTCGACGCCGTAGGACACGCGCGGCGGCCGCACGACGGTGCACACCAATTGCTCGTAGCCCATGCGCACCATGGCGATCTTGCTCGGCTTCTTCTTCTTCTGCTTCGGCTGGGGCGGGGTCCGGTGCTGGGGCGTCTGGCGGGCCTCGACTACCATGGTGGATTCGACGGCGGCCTCCCTCGCCTGCCGGTCTATACCTTGGGTGATCGAGGGCTCCGGCGCCTCCGGCATTTTTGGCATTTTGGGCCTTTTCGAGGGCCTCAACATGAGTACAACTTGCACCTCTACCGATCGGTTCCGGATCTTACGATGCTCGTTCGCGCACCGGCCCGGCCGTCGCGGCGACGGCCGGTGGGCTGCGTATGCTTGCGGCGCTCGGCGCGCCTACTTGGCGCGGTTCGCGTTGATGCGCTGCTCCGCGCGCTCGGCCATGGCCTGACGCGCGGCCGCCTGGGCCTCGTCGCGGGTCATCTTGGGCTTCTTCGACGACTTCTTCGCCGAGGAGCTCACGCTCTTGCGCTTCGCCGGCGCCTTGGGCTTGGCGGCCTTGGCGGCGGCCTCGGCGTCCGCGGCGGCCTTCGCGTCCGCGGCGGCCTGCGCCTTGGCGGCCTTGGCCTCGGCGGCGGCCTTGGCCTTGGCGGCTTTCGCGTCCGCGGCGGCGCGGGCCTCGGCGGCCTTTTTCTCGGCGGCGGCCTTGGCCTTGGCCTCGGCGGCGGCCCGGGCCTTGGCGTCCGCGGCGGCCTTGGCCCGCGCGGCGGCCTCGGCCTCGGCCCGCGCGGCGGCCTCGGCCTCGGCCCGCCGCTCCTCGGCGGCTCGTCGCTTTGCCTCCTCGACGGCCGCGAGGCGGCGCAGCTCCGCCGCGCGGGCCTCGAGGCGGCGGTCCGCGTCCGCGTTCGCGCGCGCGACGGCCGCGTCGCACTTGCCCCGGAGCGCGTCGAGGCGCAGGTCCGCCTCGCGCCGCGCCGCGGCGGCGTCGCGCGCGAAGAGGCGCGCGCGCTCGTCGGCGCGCACGTAGGCGCGCATGGCCGCGGACGCGGCCGCGCCGAGCTCCGCGTCGAGCGCCACGCGCAGCTCCGCGTCGGACGCGCCCGCGCGCGCGCCGCCGAGGACCTCGTCGAAGGCCGACGCCGCGACGGCGAGGAAGCCCTCGAGCGCGTCGGCGCGCGTGCCCGCCGCGGCCGCCTCCGCGCGCGCGGCCCGCGCGGAGCGCGACCGCTCCGCGGCGGCGTCCGCGGCGCGACCGAGCGCGGCCCGGAGCCGGGGCGCGAGCGACTCCCGCGTCGCGGGCGACAGCGCCTTCTCCGACGCGACCTTGGCCGCGAGCGTGCGCACGGCGTCGTCGACGATGGCGTCGAGCGCGCCGCGGAGCCCGACAAAGTCCGGGCTGCTCCCGGCGAAGAAGGGCGCGTCATCGAACGCGTCCACCGCCGCGAGGCCGTCGGCCTCGAGCGACTCCGCGAGCGCAGAAACTTCCGCGTCGACGATGGCCGCGTAGGCGCTCCGCGGCAGCACACAGTCATCCGCGTTGAGCGCCGCGGCGAGCTCGGGCACGACGGCGCCGAGGCGCCGCGCCGACGCCGGCGCGTCCGCGCGGAGGAGCGCCGTGTCCGACCGGCACGCCAGCTGGCGCACGATCGCGGAGCGTAATCCATCGAGGCGGTCCACGAAGGCCGGCGCGAGCTCGTCCCTGCGCACGCCGCCCTTCTTGACGAGCTGCGAGATGTTGTCGACGGGCGGCGGGAAGAGGTGGACGTCGACGGACGCAAAGGCCTTCTCGAGCGCCCGGCGGATCTCGTCGCGCTGCACGGCATCCGGCGACGCGGCGCCGCGCTTCCCGCCGGCCTCGAGGCCGAAGATCGACGCCTTGACCTTGGCCGCGTCGTCGTCCTCGAACGTCCAGTCGCGGAAGACGACGTGGAGGTGGCCGAAGACGGGGCCCGAGCCCGAGTCCGCGACGCCCTCGGCGGCGCGGACCATGACGCCGAGCTGGTTCAGGATGCGGTCCTTCTGGAGCGAGTCCTTCCAGTTGAAGATGACGCAGCGCGACGCGAGGAGCGCGGGGCAGACGAGGCGCGCGTCGTAGCGGACGTCGCGGTCGCCCTGGCCCTCGGCGTCGCAGAAGCCCACGAGGTCGTCGCCCCCGGACGCCGCCTCCGGCGGCGCCGCGGGGCCCCAGCCCGGCAGCCAGCTCAGGAGGCCGCCGCCCGCCGCGGGCGCGCCGCCGCCGCCGACGGCGCGGAACTTCTCGAGCGACAGCGTCGACGTCGACACGTCGATGCCCTGCGTGCACGGCTCGAGCGCGTTCGACACCTTGAAGACGCCGTCCATGCCGCTCAGCGCGTTCATGAGGAACGACTTGCCCTGGCGCGCGGCGCCGAAGACGCTCACGAGGTGCAGCGGCTGGTCGCCGAGCGACGACAGGAACTTCGTGGCTTTCGGGTTGACCCGGAGGTCGTCCTTCTTCATGGAGAGCCAGGAGGTGCTCATCGTGGGCGTGTGGGGAGCGGACGGGGACGGTGTCGGCGCGCGCTCCGCGTCGACGAGCAACGTTCTCCGCCAAAACTCAACGTCGCAGATACGTCGCTGGCTTCGCGATGATGCCGTCTCGGAGAGCTCGACGATGCGCGTCGTAGAGCCCGTCAAAACAAGCGCAAATCGCCTTACGAACTCGCCCAGTGACGCATCGATGCACCCACAACACAAAACCGCCATCGCCACAATCGCGACGGCGGCCGCGACGGCCCTGCTCGTCTACTGCCACCACCGCCGGAGGCGCTGGCGGCGCTGGCGCGAGCTCGCCGCAGCGCACCCGCGCGAATTGATGTGCGACCCGCGCGTCGTCCGGGCGCTCGTGCCCTACCCGTCGGCCGAGACCTCGAGGCTGCTGTCGGAGCTCACGCGGTGGCCGTCGCTGAAGATCCGCAAGTTCAGCGCCGGCGCGCGCGACGGCCGCTGCGCGCGGCCCTGGCACGCGGGCGACGCCAGGTCCGTGGGCAAGAAGTGCAAGGCGCGCCACTACTACTTCCTGCTGCACAAGCCCCTGGGCGTCGTCACGCAGCGCGACGACGCGTCGACGAGGGCGTACCGCGACCACGCGGCCGAAACGTCGCGGTGGCGCGCCTTCCGGCGGCGCGCGTTCCTGCCGACGGTTTTTGATTGTTTACCCGCGGGCTTCCCGCACGTGTCGCCCGTGGGGCGCCTCGACAAGGAGACGTCGGGGCTGCTGCTCTTCACGGACGACGGCGCGCTGTCGACCCGTTTGTTGCGGCCGCGGCCCGACAAGGGCGTGTCGAAGACCTACGTGTTGGACGTCGCCGGCGTCGCCGACGAGGCCCAGCTCCTCTCCCTCGCCGAGCCCCTCGAGGACGTCACGAAGCACTCGCGGGAGACGGTGTTCACGAAGCCCGCGGCCGTCGACGTCGTCGCCCGGCGCGGCGCGGAGGCGACCGTCCGCGTGACCATCGCCGAGGGCCGCCACCACCAGATCCGGCGCCTCGCGGCGCGCGCGGGGCTCACGGTCGCCGCGCTCCACCGCGAGCGGCTGGGGCCCCTCGACCTCGCGGACCTGCCGCCGGGCGCCGCGCGGCCGCTGACGGCCGCCGAGGTCGACGACTGCCTCGGCCTCGTGGGCCTCCGCGAGAAGCGCGGGCCGCCGCGGCCCATCCCCGTGCCCGACGCGGCGCCGGACCTCGCCGCCGGCGACCTCGCGGCCGTCTTCGCGGACCTCGAGCGGCGACTCGAGTCGTAACAGACACAGTTTTAGCTCGCGAGCAGGACGGTCTGCGCGGCGCCGACGAGCTTCTCGAGCTCCGCGGTCGACTCCTCGAACGCGGCCCGCTCGCGCTCGAGCTCGTGGAGGGACGACAGGACCGGCGCGGGCTTGCGGCGCTCGCGGCGCAGCTTCTTCACGGACGGGAGCTCGCCGAGGCTGCCCGCGCTCCGGGACCCGAAGGCGTCGGGCAGCGCGTCGCTCGTGCGCGACTCGAGGTTCAGCGACTTGCGCCGCGCCTTCGCCGCGGTCTTCTTGAGCTTGTCGTTGCCGCGCCGCACGTGGCCCAGGATCTCCTCGAACTCGTCCAGCGCCGTGTCGAGCGCGTCGTGGCCGTCGAGCCTCGGCAGCGGCGAGCAGTCGAGCAGGGTCGGCGCGGGCGGCGCGCCGTCGGCGGCCGGGAAATCCGTCGACACGCGCGGCGGGGCCTTCGGCGAGCGGCCGGGGACGTCGCCGCCGGCGTCGGGGACGTCGCCGCCGGCGTCGGGGAAGTCGCCGCGGTCGCGGAGCGGCGCGCCGCGTCCCGCGTCGATGGGCGTGCCGGGCAGTCGGACCGACCGCTGCACGGGCGCCTTGGGCTGCCCCGCCGAGACCCGCGGGAGCTGCCCCAGCGGCTCCAGCGCGAGCCGTTCCGTCGGCTGTTCGCGGGCCCACGCGTCCTCCTCGCGACGGCCCAGGAGCGTGCCCACGGACACGCGCCGCATGCTCGTCGGGTGTGTCGTCGGCGACACGGCGGGCCTGCGCGTCTCGTCGCTCTCGGCCTTGTCCAAGCCAACTCGTGCCCCGGAGAGCAGGCTCCTCGTCGCCTGTTGCTACAAAGTGTGTTGACAGCAGAATCGGGGCTGCTGATTGATCTTTCCAAGGGCGTCTCCCAAAACCTTCGGTGGCGACCTTTCCGTGCATCGTTAGCCCACGCCCCGGCGCCACGGCGGCGGCCGCGTGCTGTTGGCGCAGGCGCTCTGGCCGTCGACGAGGAAGAGGAAGTTGTGGAGCCTGGCGCCGGCGGCGAACTGCTCGCGGTGGAGCCGGTCCCGCCAGCAGTCGTAGACGCGCGTGAGCGCCGGGCCGAGGCCCGCGAGGCCGCGCGCGGCCGCGTCGACGGCGAAGCCGTTGAGGATCTTGTCCGGCGCCTCGTCGCGGAACTTGATGTCGCGCATGATCTTCGCGCCCTTCTTCATCTCCGCCTTGCGCGGCGGGTTGTTCATGTAGTGGTTGTGGAAGAAGTGCTCGACGCGGATGCGCGCGTCGCCGAGGAAGGGCCAGCCCTTGGGCCCGGCCGTCGCCGGCGCGCCGAGGTCCGCGATGGGGCAGTGCACGCTCAGGAAGAGCGGGTGGAGGCTCCCGAAGCCCCGGGACCGCGCGCACCACTTCGTGTGCGCCCGCATGGGCGGGCCCGGCGCGGACTTCGTCGCGCGCTCGCGGACGACGGACAGGAGCAGCGGCGCGGGCGCCATCCGCGGCGCCTGCGCCTTCTCGAACATGGTGATGAGGCTGTTGTGGATGATGTACTTGGTCTTCGCCGGGAGCTCGGCCATGAGCGCCTTGAGGTTCTGCTTCTTTCGCGCCTCGACAAGCGGCACGACCGCGACCTCGTCGACGTCGCCGTACCAGACCCAGTCACTCGGCCCGTGGGCCCGCGCCGACGCCGCCGACGCGCCGGGGTTGCTCGTGTGCTCCCGGAGGTAGCAGTCGTAGAGCGCGACGGACTGCGCGTACCTAGATAGAGACGGAAGCCGCGTCTCCGGCCGAAGGAGCTCGCGCGCCCCGGACGCGCCACGTTCCCGCCGAGAAAAAACGAAAAGGACGCGGCCCCGGCGGACATGACGACGGCCTGGCGCTCGGCTTTCGGGTTCGCCCAGAGCGGGCCCGGGTTCGCCGCCATGGACCAGTCGTGGTTGACGACGTAGCCGCGCGCGACGTAGCGCGCGAGCACCGCCCGCGTGTCCGGCGCCGCCCGGTCGCCCATCATGTTGTAGAAGTGGATGCGGTCGAAGCCGAGGGCCACGTGGTACTCGAGCCACTCGATGAGGAGTGCCGCGTTCAAGTTCGTGCCGAAGACGGGCGCGAGGCAGTACGCGAGGTCGCCCGAACCCGACGGGGTGGGAGGCGCGCCGCAGGCCGCGGACGGCGTCACGCGGATGCCCGGGATGACCGCCGCCGCCGGGCCCGAGACGCGGAGCGTCACGGTGCCGTCGAAGCAGGGCGCCGGCAGCGGGCACTCGATTAGCGCGCACGTCGTCGCGTCCGCGAGGTGCGCGGGGTTCAGCGACGCCTTCGTCGCCGCGACGGTCGCGTTCGCCGCGCCGGAGGCGAAGTCGCAGGCGAACCAGTCGGCGACGCTCCGCTTCTTGTACTGCTGCTGCGTGTTGAAGCGCGTCGTCACGCCCTGGATGAAGAGCGTGTCCTCCGACGCGTGGGCGTCGACGACCGTGAATGAGGCGGAGCCGCCGGGCCGATGGCGCGCGATGGGGCCGCTCGACCGCAGCCACTGCTGCGGCAGGCCGACGCCGAGGTCCTCGGCCGCGCTGCAGCCGAGGAGGTGCAGCAGCAGCGCGCACGCGATGCGTCTTCGAACCATCGTTGCCATCGGGCTGCTGGGGTTCAACTACTCGTTGGTGAAGTTTTGAGCATCGCGAGCGCCACCGGTGGCGAGCACCAAAATCTGTCAGCTCCGCGCGAACTCGTCTTAATACTGATTATCTTTGCGCCGTCATCACACCGACATGGCGCCGATCGACATGGCGCCCATCAACCATAAACAGCAACGTCTCCCCCTCACAACAGAGCTGTGTCTCGCTGCGCAGTACGGCGATTTCGCGGCGCTGAACGCATACTTCGACTCTGGTGGAGACGTGAATACGCGCATTATTAATTGGCCTCCTGGACGTCCGGTCCCTAAAGGCAAGAAACGACCGCGCGGGGGGGCGCTCCTTTATTACGCGACGTTCGGCGATCGCGACGACGTCGTGCGCCTGCTCCTGGCCCGCGGCGCGGACCCGAACCTCCGCCACGGCGAAGACGGGCTCGCGCCCCTCCACCGCGCCGCGTTCCGCGGCTTCTACGACGTGGCCAAGCTCCTTCTCGACGGAGGCGCGGACGTCGACGCGCCGAGCTCAGGGGGAAACGGTCTTCACAGCCGAACCCCGCTCCATCAGGCGGCGTTCAACGGTCACGGGGACATGATTCGGTTGCTGCTCAGCCGTGGCGCGACGTTCGATGCCCGTGACTCCAACGGTCGTACCCCCGAAGCCCTCGCTGCAGGAGAACGTCACTATGAGGGCGACTACGAGTCCGACGACGCGGACGACGACGAGGACAAAGCCTGGAAACAAAGCATGCGGAATTGGCGAGGATTGCGGGAGGCCGCGGCCTATCTACTCGTCCACGTACGCGAATGTGGCGGCTGGTCATCTTTTTACACCGATAGCTACGTCGTCCCGCGAAGACGCCTCCTCTCGCGCCTCATCGTCCTCCGCGCCCTCTGCGCGCAGGACCGCGCGAAGCCACCGGAGACGGTGCTCAGCATCAGTGCCTTACAGGAACGGGTGCTGAATGCGCGGAGTCTTGAGGATGCCCAGTCCGACGCGCGCGCACTCGCACCCGCGCCGCCGGCGATTCTCGAGCGCCTCTTCTCGTCGTCCGCCGCGGAGGCTGAAGCCGAGGCTCCGACGCCGCTGCCCAAAGAGGTCTTCTGCCTCATCTTCGATTTCTGGCGCTCAACTGCTGACTTTCCGTCCTTCAGTCCAGGCTTTCCATACGGAAGATATCTCAACCGAAACGTGCCATACGGGAGGATCCACATGCGCTGCGGAAAGATACTCTGCCACGAAGACTCCGACTGTGAAGAGACGTACGACTAAAACAGCAGAGGTATGAGTAAGATATACGCGCTTCCGCGCCGCCCGCGCCCCCGGGGACGCGCGCGCGCGGGAGCGCGCCAAAGAGCGGGCCGCCGCGCCGTCAGAGCTCGAGCTCGTCCTGCCCCCGGTTCGGGCTGCCGCCGTTCTGCCCCGGCGGCGTGGCGGCCTCGTGGTGGAGGGGGTTGCCGTCGTCGAGCTCGTCGCCGATGTCGAGGCGGCCGTACTGCTGCTCGAAGGGCTCGATGTGGACCGCGTCCCGCGACTTGAGCTTGGACTTGATGGCCGCGCCCGCGCGGCCCGCGGAGGCGGCGGCGGAGGACGCGGCGGCGGACATGCGGTTGAAGATGGACGACGTGCCGCCCTGGGACGCGGCGGGCCCCGCGCTCGTCGCGGCGGCGCCGGAGGCCGCGGGCCGGGGGCGGCCGAGGAAGCCGCGGCCCCGCGGCGCGGCGCCGGGCTCCGCGTACTGCTGCTGCTGCATCATGAGGGCCAGCTGCTGGTCCATGGCGTCCGTGCCCGACGAGGCCGGGCGGAAGTCGTCGGGGAGGCGGAGGAAGTCGTCGGGCAGCTGGACGGGCGTGCCCCGCTTCGGCAGCGCATCGGCCTCCGCGGCCGCCGCGGCCGCCGCGTCGACGGGCAGCGGCGCCGCCGGCGGGGCGGCGCGGGGCTGGGGGATCGTCGCGACGAAGCGCTGGCCGGGCACGAGGCCCGGCGGGACCTGGACCATGAACTGGCGCCCGTGCGCCGACATGGACAGCGTCGAGCCGCCGCGCGAGCCCTCGGGCACGACGACGGACACGGCGCCGGGCGCGAGGGCGCCCCCGGCCGGCGACGCGGCGGCGGGCGGCGGCAGCGAGGGCGCCGCGGGGGGCGGCGGGGGCGCCGCCGCCGCCGCGTGCCAGGCCTCGGGCGTCCCGGCGGCGAGCACGGCGTCGACGGCGGCCTCGACGTCGCCGCCCTTGGACGCGAGCACGGCCTGGAGCGTCGCCGCGTCCCAGTTCTCCCCGAACATGGCCTGGAGCGTGTCCATGGCGCCGGCTTCGGGGGACGCCTCTCCGATGGGCACCCTCTCGGCCTGGCTTTTCCTGCTGTGTGGCAACTCCACCCCAAAACTGCAACAAGGCATGCAACATGGGTGCCGACGCGTGATCTCGAGGCGCTAGCGCTCGGGCAGCCTCACGCGCCGTCGAAGGCACGCGGTCCGCCGCCCCCCTCCAGCGCACCCCAACCCGGGCACACTTACACGTCCTTGTTCTTGCCGCGGGCCTCGGCCTTCTTCTTCTCGTACATGTCGAGGGCCGAGGGGATGACGAGGGAGACGATGGCCGCGGCGACCATGTTCGTCACGATGGACTTGGAGTAGAGGAAGGCGATGGCGCTGCCCTGGACGTAGACCCGGTAGTAGACGTCCGCGAAGAAGGCGGAGAACACGGGCGTGAAGAAGAACGCGAGCAGGACCTGGAACAACACGCGGCCGCCGACGTGCTCCAGCAGGATGACGAGCATGGCCTCGAACTCCTCCAAATTCAGCTCCCCCGGGTGCTCGTCGGACCCGACGTCGTGGACGATTGCCTTGATCTGGTCGAGCTTCGGGGGAAGCAAACCCTTGACGTACGCGCCCAATTTCGAGTAGAACAGTAAAATGGCGATGTAGCACTCGTTGACGTCGACGCGGCCGCTCTTGTCGAGGTCCACGGCCTCGAAGGCCGACGCCAGGCCCTTGGTGAAGAGCGGGCTCGACGTGATGAAGTTCTTCTTGCCCTCGACGAGGGCCTTGAGCCTCGCGGCCTGGGTGTTGAACTCTACGCTGATGGACTTGCGCAGGTCACTCTTGGCCGCGGGCGGCGGAGCCGCGGGCGGCTCCGCCGCCATCTCCACCACCTCGGCGACGGGATCCGCGGCGTCGGCCATGTCCTTCGGGGTGGGGGCAGCTGGGACGGGAGGGGCCGCGTGGGATGATGCAGTCAAGATGCATCGGGGTTGACGAGATGTTGATCAGGCTTGAGGCTGTGGCAAGCGCCGCCGGTGCAGCGCGTCCGGGACGCTGTTGCGAACGCTGCGTGCGCGACCGCTGCGTGCGCGACCGCTGCGCGACGACCGCTGAAAATGATGCTGCGCCTCGTCGTCCTCGTCGCAGCGACCGCTGCCTTGCAGCTGCCTCAGAGCGCGCTGCAGGCGCATCCCACACTTCCCGCAGCTCTGCCTCACAGCGCGCCGTCGCCGCAGGCGCCTCGACGGCAGGCGCGGCGCGCGGCGTTGTCCGCCGCGACCCTGTTCCCCGCGCCGGCGCTCGCGCTGGGCACGGGCGACGGCGCGCTCGACGGCGCGGGCGTCGGGATCACGGGCGTCGCCTGGGTCGACACGCTCTACTTCTTCTTCTTCAGCGGCATCTGCGGGCTGCTCTACACGACGACGCTCGACTTCGGCGAGGAGCCGGCGCGGCGCCCGCCGCCGCCGAGCCCGCCGCCGCCCGCGGACGACGCCGCGGACGACGGCCCGCCCCTGTAAGAGCATGACTCCTCGCAAGCCGACTCGGCTCCGGAAGACGCCGGAAGCTTAGCTCTAGAGCGTCGTCGTCTTGGTGTGCGTGCCCGTGTAGTACTCCATGCCGTGGAGCACGAGGCGCGTGCGCGCGAGCTCGGACTTGAGGTGGGAGACGTCGTCGGCGAGCGCGTCGCGCTGCGACCGGAGCTCGGCGTTCTGGGACCGCAGCGCCTTGGACTCGTCGCGGTGGGCCTTGGGGAAGACGGGCTTCTTCGACGAGGCCCGGGCGTCGTTCTCGCCGTCGACGAAGATCGCCGCGGGGCGGAACACGTCCGACGGCCGCGCCTTGCGCGCGGACTGCGCGCCGGGCCGCGCGGGCGCGGACGCCGCCTTGACCTCGAGGGCGTGCTTGTCCTTGGCGAGCTGCGCGCGGTCGCGCTCGGCCTTGGCGAGCTGGCCGAGCATGTCCGACGCGGACCGCTCGAGGCGGTCGCAGCGCGCGCGCTCGCGCGCGACCAAAGCCTCGAGGTCCGCGACGCGGCCGTTCTCGTCGCCCTTCTTCCCGGGGCTCCGCCGGGGCGTGAGGCCGCGCTTCTCCGCCGCGTGCGCGCGCGTGAGGCGCTCGATGTCCTTGTGGAATTTGTCCGTCTCGACCTCGAGCGCGAGCTTGCGCTCCGCGGCGGCCTGGAGCGCCTCGGCGCGCGACGCGTCGAGGCGCGCGGCGCGCGCCTCGGCCTCGGCGCAGCGCGTCGCGTCGCGCACGTCGCGGCAGCGGGCGATCTCGCGGAGCGCGTTCGCCTTGTCGCGCTCGAGCGCCTTGAGCTGGTCCTCGCCGAGCGCGGCCTGGGCCCGGAACGTCGCGAGCGTCGCCTCGAGCGCCGCGTCGGCCGCGTCGCGCTCCGCCTCGAGCTGGGCGATCTCCGCGGACCGGTCGCGCGGCGGCGACGCCGCGTCGCCGCCGCGGCCGAGGTCGAGGAGCCGCGCGAGCGCGTCGTCGCGCTCCTTGCCGACGCTCTCGAGCGCGTCCTCCGCGGACTCCGTGACGGCGTCGGCGCGCCGCGCCTCGGCGTCGCGCTCCGCGAGCGCCGCGTCGCGCTCCGCGCGGTAGCGCTTCGCCGTCGCCGCGAGCGACTCGCGCTTCTCGTACTCGTCCGTGAGTGCGGCCGCGACGGCGTCGGCCGCGGCGTCCATCTGCGCGCGGTGCCGCCGGTCGCAGGTCTCCGCCGCGGCGCGCACGGCGTCGACGACCGCGCGGCCGCCGGGCGACGGCGGCGCCGCCGCCGGCGCGAAGCGCGCGGGCGGCGGCGACGCCGACGCGTCGCCCGCCGCGTCGCCCGCGGTCTCGGACACCGCGAGCGTCCGCGGGCTCGCCGCGCGCCGCAGCGCCGCGTTCTCGGCCTTGACCGTCGCGAGCGCCTCGGAGAGCAGCTCGCCGTCGACGCGGAGCGCGTCGTGCTCCGCGCGGACCGTGTCCAGCGCGGCCCGGAGCAGCTCCGCCTCCGTCTCGAGGGCCTCGGAGCCGTCGCTCGCGCGCGACGACGCCGCCGAGGCGGCGCGCGCGACGTCGGCCCGGAGCGCGGACGCCGCGGCGGCGTGGGACCGCCGCTCCGCCTCCGACGTCTCGAGGAGGAGCGCCTTCTCCGCGGCGAGGCGCTCGAGGTCGTCCCGCAGCCGGTCCGCGTCCTTGCGGAGCCGCAGCTGGGCGCCCTCGGACGCCTCGCGCTCCAGCGCGGCCTCGGCCTCGCGCCGCGACAGCGCCTCCTTCAGCCGCTCCGCGTCCTCGGCGGCCTTGGCGGCCGCGGACGCGGACGCGTCGCGCGCCGCGGCCGCGGCGTCCGCGCGGCGCCGCAGCGCGTCCGCCTCGTCGGCGGCGGCGGCCCGCGCGTCCTCGAGGACGGCCACCAGCCGCTCGCGCTCCTCGCGCAGCGCCCGGACCTCCTCGGAGAGCGCCGCGGCCTCGCGCTTCGCGCCCGCGACCTTGCGCGCGGCCGCCTCGCCCGTCGACGCGACCTCGGCCTGGAGCTCGCGCGCGCCGGCCCGCGCGTCGTCGGCGTCGCGCGACGCCGCGTCGAGGGCCGCGGCGAGCCGCGCGGCCTCGCCGCGCGCCGCGGCGAGCGCCTCGTCCGCGGCCGCGCGCGCGGCCGCGACGAGCTCGAGCTCCGCGGCGTCGTCGCGCCGCGCGGCCGCGGCCTCGGCCTGGAGCTTCGCGTGGTCGCCCAGCGCCGCGTCGAGCTCGCCGCGCGCGGCCTGGAGCGCGGCCCGCGACTCGCCGAGCGCGGCCTCGAGCTGCTCCGCGGCGTCGCCGTCCGCGGCCGCGCGCGCGGCCGCGCGCTTCGCGTCGATCTCGCACCGCGCCTTCTCGAGCTCCGCGGCCTTGAGCGCCTCGAGCGCCTCGGCGTTGGACGCCTCGAGGGCCGCGATGCGCATGGCCACGGACGCCTCCTTCTTCCGGAGCTCGCCGTTCTCGGACGCGAGCGCCGCGGCGCGGTCGCCGTCGGCCGCCGCGGCGCTCTCGAGGCGCGCCGTCGCCGCGTAGGCGTTGCCCTGGAGCGCCGCGAGCTCCTCCTCGAGGCCCATCGCAAAGGCGGACCCCGCGGCGACCGCGCGCTCCGCGGCCTCGGCGCGCGCGACGCTCCGCTTCCGCGCGGCCTCGGCCCAGGCCGCGTCGGCGCACGCCGCGTCCACGGCGACGCGCAGCACGTCGGCGTCGCGCGCGCGGTCGAGGACCTCGGCCTCGAGGCGCGCCGCGGCCTCCAAGCTCTCCGCGGCCTGCGCGTCGAGCGCCCCGGCGGCCGCGTCGCGGTCGGCCTCGGCCGCGGCGACGCGCCGCGCGGCGTCCTCGGACGTCGCCGACACCGTCGCCTCCAGCGCCGCCGCGCGCGCGAGCGTCGCCTCCAAAGCCGCGGCGACGTCGTCGCGCGCGCGCTTCGAGCCGTCGAGCGCGGCCTCGAGCGCCGCCACGTCCGCCTCGGAGCGCGCGAGCGCCGCGGCCGCGGCGGCCGCGTCCGCGCAGCGCCGCGCCTCCGCGGCGTCGCGCGCCGCCAGCGCCGCCTCGAGCTTGGCCTCGAGGTCCCGGGCCGCCGCGTCGCCGCCGGCCGCCGCGGCCGCGAGCCGGCCCCGGAGGTCGTCGACGGCGGCCTCGAGCGCGGCGGCCTCCGTCGCCGACGCGGCGCCCTTGGCGACCTCGGCCGCGAGCTCCCGCCGCGCCTCGCCCGCCGCCGCCTCGGCGGCGGAGACCTTGGCCTCGAGCGCGAGCACGTCCGCCTCCGTCGCCGCCGCGTGTCCCGCGAGCTCGTCCAATAGGCGCCGCTTGTCGCGGTCGAGCGCGTCCTTGAGCGCGTCGCGCGACGCCTCCGACGCCGCCAGGCCGCTCTCCGACGCCGCCAGGGCCGCCTCGGACGCCGCGAGCGCCGCCTCGGCGCCCGCGGCGCGGATGCGCGCCGCCTCGACGTCGCCGTCGCGGTCGCGCGTCAACGCCTCGGCGTCCGCGCGCGCCTTCGCGGCCGCGGCCTCGAGGTCGCGCGCCAGGCGGCCCTTCTCGACGTTGGCCGCCTCGAGCTGCGCCGCGAGCGCCTCCCGGGCGCCGCGCGCGTCGTCGAGCGCGGCCTCGGCGCGCTCGAGGTCCCGGCCCGTGGCCGCGGCGGCCTCGCGGAGCGCCGCGGCCTCGACGTCGCCCTTCAACGCGACGTCGCGCGCCGCGGCGTCGGCGCGCGCCTCGGCGGCGTCGCGGGCCGCCGCGAGCGCCGCGAGCTCGTCGGCCCGCGACGCCGCGGCCGCCTGGTTGTCGCCGACGGCCGCGTCGAGCGCGTCCCGCGCGTCCTCCGACGCCGCGAGCTCGCCCCGCAGCGCCTCCAGCGTCGCGCGCAACGCCCCGGCCTCGGCGGCGCCGCCGGCGCGCGCCGCGGCGACGTCGCTCTCCAGCGCGGCGATCGTCGCCGCCGCGCCGGCCGCCGCGGCCTCGAGGTCGCCGGTCCGGCGCCGCGCGGCCGCGGCCTCGGCCTCGCTCGTCGCGCGCGCGGCGGACGCGCGCCGCGCCTCGGCGTGGGCCGCGTCGACCTGGGCCCGCAGCTCGTCCGCGCGCGCGAGGACCGCGTCGGCCTTCAGGGACGTCTCGACGGCCGCGCGGCGCAGCGCCGCGACCTCGTCGGCCGTCGCCACGGCCTCGCCCCGCGCGGCGTCGAAGGCCGCGCAGGACGCCGCGCGCTCCGAGTCCCGCAGGGCCTCGAGGGCCGACCGCTCGTCGGCGCCGAGCGGGACGCGGCACTCGACGGCGTCCTCGGGCGCGTCGCGCTCGCGCGCCTCGTGGAGCCGCGTCGCCGCCTCGACGTCGCGCAGCGCCCGCGCCGTCGCCTCCGTCGCCGCGGCGACGAGGGCGTGGCCCGCGGCCTCGCGCGCCGCCGCGTCGTCGCGCGCGGCCGCGCGCGCGGCGTCCGCGCTCTGGAGTTTGAGCGCGAGCGTCGCGACGTCCGCGGCGCGCGCGGCCTCGAGGTCGTCGAGCTCGAGCTCGAGGCGCTGGACGGCGGTTTTTTCGAGGGCCGTCGCGTTCTGCGCCTCCCGCAATTGCTCGAGGAGCGCGTCGGCCTCGTCGACGGGGCGGCCGGCCTTGGACCACGGCGTCGTCGCCTGCCACGGCGTCGCCGCGCCCTTCTTCGCGGCGTCGGCGCCCGTCGGCGTCGCCGCGGCGTCGCGCGTCGCCTCGGCGACCTGGCAGCGGAGCGCGGCGACCTCGGCGTCGTAGCGATCCTGCGTCGCCTCGAGCTCCTCCATGAGCTCCTCCGTCGCCTTCGCCTCGAGGTCGAGCCGCGCGGCGGTGACCGCGGCCCTCTCGTCGAAGGCGGCGGCCGCCGCGGCGAGGTCGCCCTTGGCCTTCGCGCCGGCCTCGACGAGGCGGTCCATGAGCTCCTCGTTCTCCGCGCGCTCCTCCGCGAGCGACGCCTCGAGCGCCGCCGTCAGGTCCGCCGCGCGCGCGTCCGCCGCCGCGGCCGCCTCGGCCGGCGCCGCGGCCGCGGACGCGTCCGCGGCGGCGGCCCGGGCCGCGAGCGCGTCGCGGTCGCGCCGCGCGGCCGCGAGGTCCGCGGCGAGGCCCGCGACGTTGCCGTCGTCGGCCCGGGGCGCCCGCGCGACCTTGGCCAGCGCGTCGAAGTGGGCGTAGGACTCCGCGAGCATGGACTGGAGCTCGACGACCTCGCGCTGCGTGTCCGTGCGGTCCGCGGCGTTCGCCGCGACGCGGTCGCAGGCGAGGAGCACGTCGCGCTCCTTGTCCGCGGCGTAGCGCTTCGCCGCGGCGAGGGCGCCCTCGGATTCCGCCACGCGGTCGCGGAGCTTGGCGAGCTGGTCCTCGGCGCGCGCCGCGCGGCCGTCCGCGCGCTCCGCGTTCGCCGCTAGCGCGCCGCTCGCGGCGGCCTGGGCGTCGACGACCCTGGCGTACTGCTTGAGCTCGTCGACGAGGGACCCGAGGCAGGCCTCGCTGAGCCGCGACACCTCGAGCGCGTGCGCGTGCTCGAGGAGCGCGCGGTCGCGCTCGCCCCGGAGCCGCCGCGCGACGTCGCACGACGCGGAAACGGCCGCCTCGCGCGCGACGGCCTCCTCGAGCTGCACCGCGAGCTCGGCCTTGAGCGCGGGCACGGCCGCCGCGAGCCGCGACCGCTCGCTCTCGGCCGTCGCGGCCGAGGAGCGGTGCGCGTCCGTCAGCGATCGGACGCGCGCCGCGTGCGCCTCGCGCTCGGCGTGCAGCGCCGAGGCGACGGCGTCGTCGATGTGGTGCGCCGCCGCCGCGCGCTCCGTGGTCAGCGCCGCGGCGACGCCCGCGTGCGCCTCGCGCTCCGCGTGGAGCGCCGACGCGACGGCGTCGCGCTCCGCGCCGAGCGCGTCGCGCTCCGACGCGAGCGCCGCGGCGACGGCGTCGCGCTCCGCCGTCATCGCCGCCGTCGCATCCGCCAGGCGCGCGCGCTCCGCGTCGAGCTCCCGCGTGATGCCCGCGAGCCGCGCCTCGAGCGCCTCGTTCTCGTTCGCGAGGCCGTCGGCCTCGGCGCGGTGCTCGTCGGCCTCGAGCGTGATGTCCGCGAAGGCCTCCTCGAGGCCGACGATCTTGTTCTGGAGCTCGTTGACGAGGTTCTGGTGCGTGCTGTTCTCGGCCTTCCACTTGAGGAGCCGGTACTGGTTGAGGAGGCGCCGGCCGTCCTCGACGCTCAACGACTTCTTGGGGGAGCGGCGCGCGGCCGCGTCCATGGTTTTTTTACGAAATGTTGGTGGGTTGTGAGCGTTCGAGCGGCCGTGCGGCGCGTGTGTGCGTGTGATGACCGTGCGGCGCGTGTGAGCGTGTGTTCGGGGCCACGGTACCGCCACACGCGACGCCGATGCGAGCTCCTCGATCGACGACAACGGCGTCAACGACGAGGTAACGATGGCCTCAAGATCGACGGCTCATCGATGGGCGCCGCCTCAAAGACTGCGGCTGCCCCAGCAGCCGATCGACTGCCGCCGACATGCACCGCGCTGGAGGCCTCGTGAACGCGCGCCTGCCCGCGGACGCCTCGTGAACGCGCGCCAGCCTCGGCAACGGCCGCAAATGCCGCCCAAGAGGTGCACCCGGAGCGTGCCCCTCGTCGACGGGCCGGTGCGCTTCGACGGCGCGGCCTCCGTGCAGCCCTGCGGCGACTTCTGGCGGCCCTGGCGCCTGGACCTGGGCCTGAAAGACCTCTATCACCCGCAGCTGCTGCACGCCGCCGCCGTCGCCAGCGGCGTCCGGCTCGCGTTCGCGTCCGACGCCGACGCGCTGGAGCTCGACTACACGCACGCGTCGATCTTCCACGGCTGCGCCTTCGACCTCGTCGTCGACGGCCGCGTCATCACGAAGCGCGTGCCCGCCGTCGCGCCGCTGCCGCCGGGCCTCACCGGCGACGAGAAGCGGTCGGTGATGGAGTCGCACCCGTGCGCCGCGCGGCCGCCGCGCGCGACGGTCGCCTGGTCCGGCCTCGGCGCTTCCGGTCGGACGCGCCGCTTCGAGCTCTGGCTCCCCCACGCGACCGTGGTCCGCTACCACGCGCTCCGCGTCGACGCCGGGGCCTCCGTGGAGCCCGCCGTCGACGAGCGGCGCCGCTTCGTCGTCTACGGGAGCTCGATCACGTCCTGCGCCGAAGCGAGCAGCCCGTCGAGGACCTGGCCGGCGATCGCGGCGAACTCGACCGCGGGCCTGCACCTCGTGAACCTCGGCTTCGCGGGCGGCTGCCACCTGGACCCGTTGGTCGCGCGGGCCATCGCCGGCGCGCGCGCGGATTTCGTCGTCTTGGAGCTCGGCATCAACGTCTTCGACGCGAAGAGCTTCTCGGAGCGTAGCTTCGAGGCCGCCGTCCTGGGCTTCATCCTCAACGTGAGGGACGGCCACCCGACGGCGCCGCTGCTCGTCGTGAGCCCCATCTGGGCCGCGGGCCGCGAAACCCAGAAGCGCGCGCTGGGCCTGCCCGCGATCCGCGCGGTCCTCGCGAAGCTCGTCGAGAAGCTCCGGCACCGCGGCGACGCCAACGTCCACTACCGCTCGGGCATCGACCTCTTCGGCGAGGCCGACGAGGCGGACCTCGTCGACGGCGTCCACCCGAGCGCCGCGGGCTACGAGCGCATCGCCGCGCGGTTCGAGCGGCTCGCTTTCGGCGTTGGCGGGTGTTTTGAGCAGGAGCCGCCGGTGCCGCCACCGCCGGACTAAGTGGGTGATTGTGATCGGGATGGATGGGTCTTGTGAGGTCTTGTGGCCAATCGACTCGAATCGCCACAGCCGACCCGAGTCGCGAGTGCGGCGCTCTTGTACAATTGTGTGGGAGGGCCTACGCGGGCGACGCGCGCGGGGGCTACGTTACGCAGGGCAGGGCGTGGGCATAGGCAACGGCGGGGCGACAAACGACGGAGCGAACAGGCGAACGTCATGAGCGCCGAGCACGCCCCCGAGGACTCGTGGTCGGGTTTCCTCGGTACGACGATCGGCTTCATATTTTATCAAGGATTCGACAAGCTTGGCGTACTAGACGAAAGGCCAACCCCCGAGGTCGCAGAGCGCTTCATGGCGCTCTCATCTCTAGTCGACGGGTTTCTCGACGGCCGGTCCCCCGACGGCGTTTCTTTGCGGGCGGCGGGCGCGATCGCGTCGACGTGCCGCGAGGCGCGGGTCGGCGCGAGCGACTCCCTCGTCACGTACGGCGGCGAGCTCATGCGCGCGGCGACCTCGCAGCTCGTCACCGGGGTCACGCCCCCGCGCGCGGTGTCGATGTGCGTCCTGCGGGAGGCCTTCAAGTCGCCGGCGCTTCGGGCGACGGCCGAGGACCTCAAGGCGACGGTCGCGAAGCCGCTGCTCGCGCTCCTCACGGCGCCTGAGGTCAAGTGCGACGAAAAGATCCAGGGGGGACGAGCACGGGGGGCACCCTGTGACCAATGCCTGTGCCGGCTGAGAGCGCTGCGCGCGCTGCGAGCGGTCCACGACGTGCCGACGGACCCGAGCGTTTCCAAGCTCATCCTCGAGGGCGTGGCTTCGGCGTTTCTGGGCAACTCGCAGCATCTGCGGGAACTGCTCGTATCATCGGATTCTGCTGTGCTACAGCCAAATGGGGTGGTGCCCTTGGGCACGATGCGATTCCACGCTGCAAGCGCAAATGTCAATCAAGTCATTGACTATTCAAACTGCTGCTGCAGAGACGGCCATGGAAAAAAGTTTGCTTCCGGGCGTTATGAGATGGTGGCGCTAGCCGTTCAGGACTTGCTGACCCTGACGAAGCTCGCGCTGATCGAAGGGGTCGCGGGACCCGTCGAAGCATGCGCAGGAGTTTTTCACACACTGGACCTCTGTCTGGCGCTGAAGGCGGATGCGGTGACTTATGACTTGAAGCGACTGACTTCAGACGTACTGGGACTTCTGCTCCAGCGGCAAGAGCTAGGCGGCAGCGCTCGCGCTGATGCCAAGCACGAGGATATCCCGCGCGACCTCGTGCGCGTAATGTGCCAGAGCGACAAAGATGCCACGTTGGCTGCCGCCATCTCTGCGACGTCGGCGCTCTGCGCGATCGTCTCGCGGAAAGAGACGGATCATGGCGCAGTTCTCAACGAGGCGATCGATGAAGTCGCGGTCCTGCTCCTCGAGGCAGAGCTCGTCACGCTAGCAATCAAGTCGTCGGACACCTTGGTTCCTTTCCACCAGCATTCCATGGCTACGCTGGATGAGAAAGACTTTCTGCGTTTGCGGCTACGGGTCCAATGGAGCTCGAATCTCAGTTTGCAGTCGCGCGCGAATCTCGGAGCACTCGCTAATCACGGCGCGCCTCTTCTCACGGCAATCAACGGAGCTATCGAACGCGCCGAGGGTGGCTCTGTGGCTGCACAAGCATTGTCTTTGAAACTTTGGATTGCCTGCTTGGATCACTTAAGCGATCAAGCCGTCGTACTTCCTGACCATCGTCAACTCTACGAGCGCGTCTCGAAGCTCTTCGTGATGCACCTCCAGACGCGAATGAGTTGCCCTGTCTACCGTTCTCCCGACGAATTGCTCCTCGAGCTCGAGTCACAGGGTCTGATCAATGCAATCACGTCTGCCTTCTCCCATAATCTCGCATCTCGCGAAGTTGCGACCGGACTCAGCGTGTTTCTCAACGAACATGTCGTGAAACTGTTTGCGCGATCACCGCAATTCGGAAAGCGGTGGAACGACTTCATGCACTTCTTGTGGCAGTCGCAGCGCGTCATCCGCATCGCAGTTCAAGACGAGGACTCGGACGACGTGTGCGACGCGCCGCCTACATGGAAGCTGTTTTTGATCATTTTGATCATGCACAAGTTTGCGGCGCTGCCTTGGGAAAAAGCGTATCGTCACTTCTGGCATGACGAAGCAGCTGCATCACTCCTCATGGCATTGGACAAATCACGCGCAAAAGAACATCTTCGAGATGATGGCGAGTTTCAAATCAAAGTCGTCGAGATCTTGACGCGTCTCATGCTCCCGGTCGATGGGCCTGAGCGCGACGCATCCGAGTATTCAGACTTCCCCAGCGACGACGCTGAGGGCTTGATGGCTCTATTACGCTCGCAGTCACCGGTTAATATGGAGTCCATGGACTGGGATAAAATCAGCTTTGACTACGAAAGCCTCGTCGACCTCGTCGAGCGCGACGGAGACAACGTCGAACTCCGCGACGTCGTCGTCCACATCGTCGCACATCAGGTGTTGTATGCCTGGGAAGAGCGAGGGGTTTTGAGCTACGGCGTACGCGATGAAGACTGGTTATTCGAGCTTCGAAACAATATCGACGCGCTCCTTGCTTTGGTGAAGTCACAACGCCCTTCTTCGCGTCTCGCTGCGTTGGAACTGCTTTTCGCTCTCGTCTCGAACGATCATTGCTGGACAGATTATTACTCCTGGGGGGACGGCGACGAGCCGGCATCTGTCGATGTCGCGCGCATCGTGTGCGCTGATGGAATCAAGGAGGTTACGCCTCGAATCAGGTCCGCGTGTCCGAGCGCTCACGTCGTCCGTGCGTTCCTCAGTGCGAATGCCGATGCGCACGACATGGGAATCGCGGAGTATCTGAAGATGCAAATTCAAAATATTGCGGACGAGAGCGCGGAGCGACGCGAGAAGATCATGTCGCGGCGGAAGCGCAACGAGGACACCGTCGGCGACCCCTCGCGGACCGCGGAGTCGGCGGCGGCGGCCGAGGAGGCGCTCTTGGAAATGCTCGACGACGAGGAGCAGGAGGCGTCGAAAAAGCATAAGAAGAAGCAGAAGAAGAAGCAGAAGAAGAAGGGCCCGGCGCCCGTCGCCGCGCCAGCGCCTCCGCCTCCGCCCGCGCCGGCCTCTCCGGCGGCGTCATCCCCCGATACGGAGTCCTCGGCTTCCGACGACGATGATGACCTCGCGCGCCTTTTACCGACGCGACAGCCGCCGGCTGTGCGAAAGCCGAAGCGCGTCGCACCGGTCGCGCCGCCTGCGCCGCGGCCAGCGCCCGCCGCGCCGAGGCCGCCTGCGCCGCGGCCAGCGCCCGCCGCGCCGAGGCCTCCGCCGCCGCCGCAACCGCCAAAGCCTGCCGCGGTACCGAGGCCCAAGCCTCCGCCGACGACGCTCGAGCAGCTCCTATCCAGACTCAAGTTGGACCGCTACGGCAAGAACTTCGCCGCCGCCGAGGTGACGCTAGAGCTGCTGCCGCTGTTGTCGCTCGAGGATTACGCCGACGTCGGCCTGTCGCGGCAGGACGGTGCGAGAATCCGCGATGCCATTGCTCCTCCGGCGCCGGCGCCGGCGGCTCCGCAGGGCCGCGCCACGGGGCGGCTCGACTCCTGGGTCAAGACGCGCGGCTACGGCCTCATCGCGCCTGATCACGGCAGCGAAAAAATCTTCGTGCACGCTTCCGCCTTGAAGGCGTTTGGCACGAAAGACCTTTCGAGCTTCGTGGGAACGCGCATGAGCTACGACACCGGAACTCGGCAGAACAAGCCAATCGCGCTCGACGTCCGGCGCGAAGGCGCGCCCGCGCCGCCGCCCGCGCGCGCCGCGCCGCCCGCGCGCGCCGCGCCGCCGCCGCCCGCTCGTCCCGCGCCGCCGCCGCGCGACGACGACGTGCCCGAGGAATTCCTCTGCCCCATCACCTTCGAGATGATGACGGACCCGGTCATCGCGGCGGACGGCCACACGTACGAGCGCCGCGCGATCGAGGCGTGGTTCTCGCGCGCGCGCACGTCGCCGGTGACGAACGAGCCCCTGGAGCACCTCCACCTCATCCCGGCCCACACGATCCGGTCGCTCATCCAGCGCCGCTTGGAAGCCTAACACCTCTAAAAGGCCGCGGGGAGACCTCTCGATCGGCGAGCGGGCAAGAACTTGACGGGCGGGATCTCCACAAGACCTCGCGGTCCTGATCGCGAGGAGGAGGAGCGCGCGCCGGCGCCAAGACGCGCGAGTCATGTCCTCTAAACCTGGTATTGTTGCGCGTGGCTCGCGATCGCCGCGACTCAAGACCGTCGGCGGGGGACCGCCGGGGGCCGCACATAGATCGACGCGGGCCCTCTCGGCTTCGTCGCTGGGCTTCGTCCTGGCGCACAGCTACGACTACCACAAGCTGCTCGACGAGAGCGCGGAGGACGTCGACATCGTCAAAAACGTCAAAAAGCTCTCGCGTAAACTCGACGCGATCCTGGGCGACGCCGCCGTCCTCCAATCCGCGTCCGCGATCTCGACGACGTGCCGCGTCGCGCGGGCCGGCTGCCAACCCTCGCTCGCCCTTCGCGGGACCGAGCGCATGCGCGCGGGCGTGAACCGGCTCGTGGCGGGGAAAGAGTCCCTGCCGAGGAAAGAGCCCCTGCCGAAGGACCTGCGCTTCCTGCGGGCGGCGTTCGCGAGCCCGGCGCTCCGGAAGGCGTCCGAGGAGCTCAAGGCGCGCGTCGCGAAGCCGCTGCTCTCCATCGTCCTCTTGACCAGCGGCGGGGAGCTCAGTGGCAACAGCCGCGCCGCTTTAGACATTCGCCTCCGTCGGCTCGAGGCCCTTCGCGTCGTGCGCGCCGTCCACGACGTGCCCGGGGATCCATCGATCTCGAAAGCCATCCTCGCGGATCTCCTAGCGCATTTCCTCTCGGCGTCCGGTTCCCGCCGTCTCTTTTTCTGGTCCTACTGCTTCGAGCTGACCGCGGACGAAGAATTGGAGTCGCCGCGGCCATACATCGCGAACATCGCTTCGACGAACAAGGTCAAATACGTTGGCTTCGGCATGAACGCGAAGCATCAGGAATGCGTCGAGTGCGCGCTCCTGGATTTGCTTTACCTCTTGCCATTGGCCCTCATTCAGGAGTCAAAGACCAAGCCATGCATCGCCCCCGCAAGCTTCACGGAAATTTGCGCTTTGGTGGACGTCGGCCTCACATTTAAGCCGATCAAGACGCAAACGGGTGACATCTTTAGAGGAACGATTGAGACGCTCGCTCACCTTTCGCGCACCCATCACCTCGAGCGCGTGGACCGGAACTGCTTGGTTTCCGAGGGCGTGTTCCGGGACCTCGTGCGTGGGCTCGATCTCAGCGACAACCTCGATATAGACATTCCAGGCGTGCAGTCATTGAATGGATTCCTCGGGCCACTGGCCGGGATTTCAGTGTCCCCTATCTGTACGCGGGTCGCGATCCTGCTCCTTGAAGCGGGTCTTATGTCGATCACCGTGCTACACGACGGCAAGACCCACGTCGGACTCGATCCTGATTTACCCCTCGAGACGCTGGAAGATGTCGACTTCATGCGTCTACAGCTCGGTATTTCGTGGGCCGAAGACCTCGACGTCGCGAAAACAGAAGCTGGGATTGCCTTGTCAAATAAACTGAACGGGCTGCTCCAATCGACAGCCGGCCATCTCAATCTCCGAGTCGCGCAGCTGTGGCTCGCTTATATGGACCGTCTCAGCGGCACGACGGTCAGCGACGCGCACGAGCGTCTCTATGAACGCGTCGCCAATATTTTCATTTCAAACTTTCGCACCTTGCTCGGCGATGCGCCAGACCTGATCATGCTTGAAGAGGGCGCTTTCTTACAGAGCACGCATCTCGTTTTGCTCCACAGCCTATCAGGACGTCAAGTCGTCGCTGGCGTCGTCTATTTAATGGGGCTCGTCACAGGGAAATGGGCTAGGCAGCCGTCCACTGATTTCGCTCCGGTGTGCGACATGACACGGCTTCTATGGGGTTGCCACCGGGCGATGCGGATGAACTTTGAGGATGGATACCGATACGTGTCCTGGCGCGTCTCGGCGGTCACGACCATGTTGTGCGGATTCGCGGTCCAGTTCCCAAAAGCATTCAAAAATCTGCATGGCAAGATAACAAAATTCTATTTGGAGGTCGCCGGAGCGTTCATGCAAGCCTTGAACACTGACCTTGCGACACCGGTGCTGCACACCCTCGTAGAGGCACTCGGTTCGATAATGATTTGCGATCACCCGCGCGGCGACGATGAAGAGTCTCCGTTCCCTGAATCTTATGGCGAAAACATCCTCGACTTACTGTCACGCACCGAATCACTAGAGATGACGTCCACGCGAGCAGACCTGCTACACTTTGACTACGAAACGCAAGCAGACCTGCTCGGCGAAGGCGACTGCGTTCAGATCCGCGACGTGGCCGTGCACATCCTCGCGCACCAAGTCCTCTGCGCGGAGGATGACGGACACGGCGTCTTGAACTATTATCTCGGAGACTACGATTGGTTCCACGCTATGGCTCACGAGCAGGAAGTCGTCGACGCGCTCCTCGCGTTGCTAAAAGCACAGCGTCCATCGTCTCGACTCGCAGCGTTGGAGCTCCTACTTGTCATCGCGCGGTATGATGACCAAGAATGGGACATGAATTGTGACGGCGAATATGATTGGGAAGAGGGGTGCGAACCGCCATCATGCATGCTCGCACGTACTATCTTTCACGAGGAAATCGCTTCGATGGCGCCGCGGATTAAGGCGCGCGACCCCAAAGCTCATCTTGCTCGCTGCTTTCTCGGAATCATGTGTTGTGATGAAGAGTTTAACAGCCCGGGCGACGTCCTGGAATCCAAGTTGCGACACATCGCCCAGACTGGCCTCGAAGCGCGTGAAAAGATCCTCGCTCGAAAGGCGAGCAAGGTCGCGAAGAGCGTCGGCGACCCCTCGCGGACCGCGGAGTCGGCGGCGGCGGCCGAGGAGGCGCTCTTGGACATGCTCGACGACGAGGAGCAGGAGGCGTCGAAGAAGCAGAAGAAGAAGCAGAAGAAGAAGCAGAAGAAGAAGGCCGCGGCGCCCGTCGCCGCGCCGGCGCCCGCGCCTCCGCCCGCGCCGGCCTCTCCGGCGGCGGCGTCCCCCGATGCGGAGTCCTCGGCTTCCGACGACGATGATGACCTCGCGCGCCTCTTACCGACGCGACAGCCGCCGGCTGCGCAAAGGCCGAAGCGCGTCGCACCGGTCGCGCCGCCCGCGCCTCCGCCCGACGCGCCGAGGCCTCCGCCGCCGCCGCCGACGCCCGCCGCGCCGAGGCCGCCGCCGCCGCCGCCGCAACCGCCGAAGCCCGCAGCCGCGCCGAGGCCCAAGCCTCCGCCGACGACGCTCGAACAGCTCCTGTCGAGCCTCAAGTTGGACCGCTACGGCAAGAACTTCGCCGCCGCCGAGGTGACGCTGGAGCTGCTGCCGCTGTTGTCGCTCGAGGATTACGCCGACGTCGGCCTGTCGCGGCAGGACGGTGCGAGGATCCGCGATGCCATTGCTCCCCCGGCGCCGGCGCCGGCGCCGCCGGCGCCGGCTCCGCAGAGCAGTCGCCACTCCGGCAAAATCCTCTCGTGGACGCAAGGCGACAACTACGGCTTCATCACGCCCGCCGGCGCGGGGAAGGCGATCTTCTGCCACGGCTCTGGGCTGAAAGGGGATATTTGGACGACTCCGTGGAAAAGCGTTGGCGCGCGCGTGACGTACCTCGTCGGCGAGCGACGCGGCAGGCCGATCGCGGTGGACGTCCGGTTCGCAGGCGAGGCCATCCCGCCGCCGCCCGCTCGTCCTGTGCTGCCGCCTGTGTGTCCTGTGCCGCTGCCCGCGCCGCCGCCGCCCGCTCGTCCCGCGCCGCCGCCGCGCGACGACGACGTGCCGGAGGAGTTCCTCTGCCCCATCACCTTCGAGATGATGACGGACCCGGTCATCGCGGCGGACGGCCACACGTACGAGCGCCGCGCGATCGAGGCGTGGTTCGAGCGCGCGCGCACGTCGCCGGTGACGAACGAGCCCCTGGAGCACCTCCACCTCATCCCCGCCCACACGATCCGCTCGCTCATCCAGCGCCGCTCCGAGGCCTCCTAATAAAAGAGATTAGCCGAACATGCCCCCCTTGCCGTTGAAGCGCCCCGCGACGCGCGCGGCGACCGCGTCCTCGACCGCGCGCTGGCGGTCGCGGCTCAGGCCCGACGCCTCCGCGGCCGACGCCTCCGTCGCGCCGAGGTGGCCCTGGTCCGCGAGCTTGTCGAGGTGGGCGACGTACTTGGCGCGCGCCTCCGCGGCGTCGTCCGTCGGCAACAAGCGGTCGTAGAGGAAGAGGCAGCTCTGGATGAGCGCGGACGCGGGCCGGTTCGCCTGGTGGTCCACGTCCAGCAGCAGCAGACTCGCGTCGCCGCCGTGGGACTCGTGGAGGTCCACGGAGTGCTGGCAGTTGATGAAGTCGTCGAGCTTGCCGTGGACGAAGAGCGCGGGCGTCGCCGAGTGCCGCATGTTCGCGACGTGCTCGATGGGCGCGACGTCGTAGACGTCGAAGCCCGCGCGGTGCTTCACGGAGGACCGCACGAGCGCCAGCGCCGCCTCCGTGACGGCCCCGGCGACGAAGTTGCGCGGCGCCGACGAGTCGCCGTCGCCCTCCGCGCGGCGCCGGACCTTGCCGACGAGCTCGCGGCAGAGGCGCACGAGGCCGCTGTAGGGCGAGTCGGCGACGACGGCCGCGACGTCCGGGTCCCGCGTCGACGCGTACAAGAGCGCCGTCGCCGCGCCCATGGACCGCCCCCAGAGCGCGACGCGGCCGACGAGCTTCTTCCGCTTGAGCTCGTCGACGACCGCGGCGACGTCGTCGCGCTCGAAGTGGCCCAAACTCACGAACTCGCCGCCCGAGTTGCCCGACCCCGCGCAGTCCACGGCGCAGAGCGCGATGCCCCCGAGGCACAGCGGCCGCAGCAGGCTCAGCGCGCCGAGCCGGTTGCACGCGTTGCCGTGGACGTAGACGACGCACGGCGGCCGGTGGCCGCCGGGCCCCAGGCGGTCGTAGTCGACGCCCACGGTCCGCGGCGTCCACAGCGACGCGCGGACCTCCAGGCCGCGCTCGTTGGGGACGCTCAGGTCCTCGCGGTGGACCACGGTGACCGAACTTTTCAGCGTGCCGAAGGTCCGGTGCGTCGTCGCCTCCGTCTTGATCGCGAAATCCGCGACGCCCAGCCGCCGCTCGTCGTAGGTCGCGCGCGGCGGCCGGATGATGACCTTGAGCAGCGACTGGTAGGCCGCCTTGACCTCGGGCCCGGCGACGGAGAACGCGCGCTCCGGCAGCGAGTCGCCGAGCTCGGGCACGGGGTCCGCGTCGAAATCGTCGTCGCCGCCCCGCCGGTCGACGTCGCGCGCGCGGATGATCGACGACTTGCGCGCGTTGCCCGCGCCGCCCAGGGGCTTGCCGGGGACGCGCGCGGGCGCCGGGCCCGGCGGCCGGTTGAGCTGCATGAACGGCCGCTCGGGCCCCTCGAAGGGCTGGCCGCCCGTGCAGTCCACCGCGCACACGAGGAAGTTGGCCATCTTGTTGTACCAGGCGCCGCCCACGATATAACTCATGGCGTCGTCCGTTTTTAATGTGGACAGCTCGCTGAGCTTCGCCAGCGCGCCCCGGCTCTCCGTCTTCGCCTCGCGGCGCGACGCGCTCAAAGCCGACCACCAGCTGCACGTCGCCGACGGCGTCTCGAAGCGCAGCACGACGGCGTCGACCAGGTCCGGGTCGCCCACGTCGTCGTTCGGTAAATTGAGGCGCAGCTGGAGCGTGCAGGGCGCGTCGCAGCGGATCACGCGCACGCGGTTCAGATACACTAAGGCGCGCCGCGGGCTCGCGGTGTCCGGCGCGTACCGTAACGTCCGCGGCGGCGCGTCGCGCAGTTCGAGCCAGACGCGCTTCTTCACGAGGCCGTCGCGGGACACGAGGCTGCCCCAGCCCGTGCGCGACGCGTGGCGCAGCGCGGGCTTCTTGTCGGGCTTCCACCTGCGTGGGACTCAAATCTTCAACCCGACTTCAATGTGCGCGTATGCGACAGTTTCGACGCGAGCTCTTCATCTGTGCTTCGAGAACTCGACGAGAGCAATCGATTCGTCCAAAAATCACCCGAATCGACTTCGATTTGGCCGAGCTCGAGAGGTTTGAAGTTTTTGCTGGACAGGGCGTTCCAGCGGTTGATTTCCACACGGGCTTCCACCAGCTCGCGGACCCCCACGCGGCCGCGCGCGCGGCCGGGTCCTCCACGACGCGCTCCTCCTTCGTCTCCTCGTCCTTCGTTTCCTCGTCGTCGTCGGGCGGCGGGCCGGCGAGCGCGCGCTCGGGCCACGCGGGCCGGCAGCTCTCGACGAGGCAGTTCCGCGCGGCCTCGAAATCCAAAGCCGCCTGCGGCGCGGACCGGAAGCGCCGCTCGAGCTCCGTCACGTCCAGGCGCAGCACGTTGGCGCCGTGGCGCAGCTCGCGCTCGAGGCTCCGCGGCTCGACGACGAGCGGGTGGCGGCACGCGGCTTTGCACAATTCGACGAAGCCCGCCTCGTCCAACAACCCCTCGTCGCTCGCGCGCTCGTCGAAGAGGGCCCGCAGCGCGAAGGCCTTGACCTCGTCGCCGCCCGTGGGCGGCTGCATGCGCAGCACGCGCCGCCCCGTCTGCCGCGCGTGCGCGCAGTCGCCGCACGACCGCCGGGGCCCCGACGCCTCGTCGCCGTCGCCGGACCCCGGGAGCTGCGGCGCGCAGAGCGCGCAGAGCACGTCGCCGCAGTCGTGGCAGTTGACGGCCATGGCGTCCCGGGTGCCGCCCCGCTTGCCCAGCGCGCCGCCGCACGCGACGCACGCCGACGCGGCCTCGAGCGGCACGAGGTGGCCCAGGCCGCGGTCGTTGCAGCGCTCCACCTCCCGCGCCAGGATCGCCAGCGCCGCGTTGGCGTGGGCCGCGGACGCCGCGCACTCGTCGACGACGGGCGCGACGATCTCGGCGATGCGCTCCGCGAACGACCGGAGCTGGGACTGCCCGAACCGGTCCTGCGCGACCATGCCGATGGCCACCCTGGCGTCGCGGTAGCAGCAGACGCGCCACCGCGGGCCCCGGTCGCTCGTGACGTTCTTCTGGGGCGGGCCGAAGGTCCAGCGCCGCGTGCTCGGGCCGCCCGTCTCGCGGCGCGCGGCGTAGCACATGGCCGCGTCGCAGCCCGCGGACGTCGTCTCCACGGCCGCCGTCGGGGAGTCGAGGGACCGCGACCCGGCGGAGCAGTACAGCAGCTGCGGGGTCGTCTCCGGGACCCAGACCGTCGTCAGCGCGAGGCCCGGCATGCTTCGGGACGCGCGGAGGCGGCCGTCCGCGGCCCAGATGCTGCCTGGAGTGATGCTTCGCAAAGCTTGCAAAGCTTGTGGCAATTTCGTCAACTTGCAGTGGGTTGCAGTTTGCGATGGGTGTTCGCAAAGCTGTTTTTGCGACGCAAATTTTGCTCATTGTGTCAGGAATAACCGGTCTTCAAAGCAGTGCGAAGCGGTCGCAAAATCACCGGCTGTTTGCGGCGCCAGAGACGCCGCAGCAGTCCTTCGCAGCGCCAGAGCGACCACCGCAGCCGTTCGCAGCGCCGCAGCCACCGCCGCCCCTGCGCGACGGCTACGAGATCACCGCGACGCTGGACGTCGCCGCCCTCCCGCCGGACACGCGCGTGCCCGTCGCGCTCCGCGCCGCGGACGCGGCGCGCTTCCCGACGGCGTCGAAGGCGAAGCGGGCCTGCCGCCGCGGCGAGGTGATGTTGAACGGGCGCACGGCGCGCTGCGGTGACGCCGTGAAGCAGGGCGACCGCCTCGAGCTGCGCGCGCGCGTCAACGTCACGTCCTACGTGCAAGCGAGATTCCGTTCCGCGAAGGCGCCGTTCGACCTCGAGGTCGCGTACGAGGACGACTACCTCGCCGTCGTCGTCAAGCCCGCGGGCGTGCCGACGTACTCGCCCGGCGGCGACCACGGCGGCCGGGCGAACCTGCGGTCCTGCCTCCCCTTCGCGCTCAAACCGCCGGCGTCGTGCCGCGCGGGCGACGAGGTGCTGCGCAGGCCGCAGCCCGTGCACCGCCTCGACAAGGCGACGAGCGGCCTCGTGCTCTGCGCGAAGACGAAGCTCGCGGCGGTGGGCGCCGCGCGGGCCTTCGCGACGCGCGCTGTCAAGAAGCGCTACAGCGCGGTTTTGCTCGGCGAGCCCGCGGCGCGCCGCGGCGTCGTCACCGCGCCCGTGCCCGTGAACGTCAAGGGCCTTTCCGTTTTGAAGTCCGCGCGGACGGTCTACGCCGTCGAGGCCGTCGTCGACTCGCTCAAGGCGAGCAAGCTCTGCCTCGTCAAGTGCGCGCCGCGCACCGGGCGGACGCACCAGCTCCGGCGGCACTTCGCGGAGGCGCTGGGCCGGCCCATCGTCGGCGACGTGCTCTACGACGGCGGCGGGCCCGAGGCCCTCAACTTCCGCCGCAGCGGCCTCTTCTTCTGCGCGCGGTCCCTCGAGCTCGACCACCCCGTCACGGGCGCGCGGCTCCAAGTGCGGACGGGCCTCCCGGGCAAGTTTTCCAGCCTCCTCGAGCGCGAGGCGCGGCGGGCCGCGGCGCTCGGGGACGGGTAACTTGTTTGTGCACTTTTCGATGCCGCGGCCGACGCCGTCGAACGGCGTCAGGCCCGGCGCCGCGACCGCGTCGTCGGCGGCGACGATCTGCGGCGACGGCGGCCCGGGATCGGAGCCCATCAACTTGACACCGATGGCTCGGCAGCAGCTCGCGGGCATGGCAGCGCGGCTCCGGGGCTTGTGCCTCGTATTCGCGGCGTCGCACGCCCTTCAACTCCCGGCGCTCCGCGCGAAGCGGCCAGCGCACGCGCCGGCGCCGGCGATCTTCACGGCGGACGACGCGCGGCCCATCGTGCTCTTCGACGGCGAGTGCAACCTCTGCAACGCCGGCGTGAACATCCTGCTCGACTACGACGCCTGCAGCCGCGACGGCCGCGGGAACCTGCGCGTCGCGGCGCTCCAGTCGACGGTGGGGCGCCTGCTCCTGTCGCGGCTCTCGGCGGAGCAGCGCGCGCGCGCCGTCGACGCGGCCAGCGGCGAGTACAGCTCCATCGTCGTCGCGGGCCGCGACCGCGCCTGGGTCGGGAGCGGCGCCGTGCTGAAGATCGGCCGCCAGCTCAAGGCGCCGCTGAAATGGCTCGCGGTGCTCGGCTGGTGCGTGCCGTGGTTCGCGCGCGACTTCGTCTACGGCCAGATCTCGCGCCGGAGGAAGCGCTGGTTCGGCGAGGCGGACCAGTGCCGCCTCTGGGACGACAACTACGACATGCGCTTCGTCTCCGACGCCGTCGTCGGCTGCGACGACCGCGTGCCCGTCGCCGGCGGCGTCACGAAGGCGGCCGCGGCCGCGGCCGCGGCCGCGTTCGCGCACGGCGACGCCGTCGTCGTCGCCGCGGAGCAGCCCGTGGTCATGGCTTCGTCGGCGAGCGAGGACGTCCTCGGCAACGGCATGCGCGGCGTCGTCGAGGCGCCGGGCGACGCGGACGGCCGCGTCGTCGTCCGCTTCGACGAGCCCGCGAAGTTCGCCGCGACCCTCGACGAGCGCATCCTCCGCAAGGTCGCCTAGGGGCCGCGCACGGGTAAGGTGCGTCGCTCTATTTCGCGGCAACCACGGCAAGTTGAAGGCAACTTCTGCATCGGCGGCAAAACTTCGTGGGTGGACACGATGGCGTCTCCTCCGCCCAGCCCGAAGAAAAAGCCGCCGTCGGTGCGCGGCGCCGACGACGCGGACGTCGTCACGTCGGACGCGCGGACCATCTCCATCGACGTCACGGAGCGGCCCAGCCAGGAGCAGCAGAGCATGGCCGATCTCGACCAGCTCGAGGCGCTGCACCTCGCCGCGGCCGAGGACATCGACGACGCTCTCAATGATTACCGCACCAAGGGGTCGCGGCGCGCGGCGAAGAAGCGGAAGGCGGCGATTTTGACGGTGTTCCTCGAGGGCACGGCGAACACGATCAACCCGCCGACGACCCAGGTCGGTCTGTTCGCCGCGGCGTGCGTCGCGACGGACATCTCCATCGAGGCGCCGACGGCGGATTCGCCGAGCTCGGAGTCGACGGCGCTCTTCAAGATGATGTTCGACGGCTGCGGCGTGTCCCACGGCGTCTCCGGGTTATTATTCGGGTCGGGGCTGAGGGACCAAGCGGCGAAGGTTCGGCGCGCGCTCGAGGATCTGGTGAAGATCTACGGCGCCCCCGTGCGCTGCAACGTGTTGGGCCTGAGCCGCGGCGGCATCGCGGCCATCTACCTGGCCCAGTCGCTGGGCGAGCTGCCGCCGGGCGCCGCGGAGCTCAACGTGCTCGCGTTCGACCCCGTGCCGGGCGACCAGACCTGGAGCGGCTTCCCCTACACGGGCGCCTACGCGCGGGACTGCGGGACCTGCAGGTGCCTGAAGCGCGTGTTGGCGCTCTACCCCCACGAGCCGCTGCCCGACATCACGTTCCACGCGCCGGTCTTGGTGCGGTGGCCCGACTCCGCGCGCGTCGAGGAGGACGTGACGCTCGGCTGCCACCAGGGCGCCCTCTTCGCGACGCGGCGGTCGAACCACCCGGTGCACGTCGCGTCGAATCTCGCGTTTCGCCGCGTCGTGAACTTCCTCGAGGAGTGCGGCACGCGGCTGGCGCTCGATCGCTGCTTCGCGTACCAGCCGAGCGACGAGGACTGCCTGAAGATCTGCCGGGTGACGCTCGCCGAGGCGCCCCAGGCGACGAAGCGCCAGCTCCACGACGGCTGCAGCCAGGGCCGCGTCATCGTCCGCCGCCGCGCGGGCCGGTACCTCAACAAGTACCACATGTCGCTCGAGGGGCCCCGCGAGGACCCGGCGGACCTGCTGGCGCCCATCCAGGACGACGGCATGCCCGACGTCCACGACGCCGACGAGCGCCTCCCGAAGCCCAAGTTCATGCTCGACATCGACGCGCCCAGCTTCCAGCGGTCCTGCGGCTTCTGATACTGTTTTTTTCCTAACTATATAGCTATTAGTATCCTCCCTCGGGGCACCAGAAGGAGACGACGTGTGACGGAGCGGCGCGCACTAGGATCCTGGGCTTGAGCGTCCATGCCGCGCCTCGCAAGCCTTGAATCGCTGAAAGCGCTTGCGGCGAAAATTGCGAGTCAGATGCGAGTCGCATCGCTTTGAACGCGTAAGCCGCGCCACTCAATCATGGTCGTGGAGGACATCCGCGCCACGCGTCCAACCAATAACGCCATCCTCTGGGTCGCCACGGGCACCAATCCGCGCCTCCTCGCCGGGCTCTTCTACAGCATCGCCTCGGTCATCTGGACGGGCGGGCTGTCGCCCGTCGACCGCGAGCGGTTCGCCTACGTCATCGCGCACGACTCGTTGGCCTGCGCCGACGTGACCGCGCGCTTCCCGCGCGCGTGCCACGAGCTCGACGCGCACGCGTTCGCGCCGCGGGGCCCGCGGACGAACGCGTCCTGCGCGGCCGCGCCGGAGCCGCTCGCGCGCGGCGGCGACTTCGTGCTGTTGAACGTGAGCCGCGCGATCGACGACGCGCGGCTCGACCGCTTCCTCGCGGCCGCGCGGGGCCAGGGGAACGCCCTGGGCCTCGAGCGGCGGCAGGCGGCGCTCGGGTCCACCTTCCGGTGGATCGCGGACACGTACCTCCTGACGATCGGCGTCAAGCGCTTCGTCTATCTGGACGTCGACACGTGCGTGAGCCGGCCGCTCGCGCGGGTCCTGTCGTCGAAGACGAAGCTCGCGCCCGTCGTCGTCGCGCGGCGGTCGGCGCGCGAGTCGGCCGCCGCGTCGAACCAGTGGACCCGCCTGGACCCCGCGGCGCGGAAGCAGCTGGAAGACGTCTGGGGCTTCGACGCGGCGCGGCACCAGTTCAACGCGGGCGTCTTGTTCGTCGACGCGGAGCAATACTGCGCGCTCGACGCCTACGAGCGCATCATCTCCGCCGCCGAGCAGCACGCGTCGATGATCCCGAGGGCGGGCCTCGTCAACGTCTTCGCGGAAGTCGCGCTCGCGCGACACGTGGTCCGCATCTCCGAGCACTGGAACTGCCGGCGCCAGTTTTCGCACCGCGACCTCGCGGCGCCGCCGGCGAACGTTTCCGACATCTGCCCGTCGAAGGTGAAGGGCCCCGCGTGCGGCGTTGTCCACGCGCCGCCGAAGTACGACCGCCGCGTCCGCGCGATCCGGCCGGCGCACCTCGCGCGCGGCGTGCCGTACCACCTCCCAGGCGCTCGCGGCCGGGGCGGCGCGAAATCGCCCGCCGAGCTGCGCGCCGCGCTCAAGGCCATGCGCGCAGCGAAGCACGCGCGGTCGGCGTAAAAGTCCGAGCCAAGCCTGGTGCGTCGACCGGGCCCTTCGAGAAGCGAGCACGCGCAGTCGGCGTGAGTTCCGTGCTCTGTGGTGCACGCGTCGACCGGATGTCGTCCGCGCGGAGGCCGCGGACGCGTCCATCGCTCGCCGACGGCTACCCAATCAAAGCTGTGGACGCCGCGCGTAGGTGGCAGTCGTTGATCGCGACACGATGGTGGAAACGCGCAGCGCTAGAAAGGCGGCGCGCCCGAATGGCCGCGACGCGGAGGTCGCGAACCCGCCGAAGCCGGCGGCGAAGAAGAAGGCGCCGCGGAAGGCGTCCAAGGCCGACGAGCTGCCGGCGGAGATCAGCCCCTACGACATGACGGCGGCGCAGCTCGCGCTGCACTGCTACTTCCTGCCCATGTGCCTGCTGCTGCCCTGCCCCGTGCTCTGCGCGGTCCTCGCCTTCGCGACGAACAGCGACGCCGTGAGCGCGCCGACCCTCGGCGGGCTCTACGCGTACGCCGTCGACCACGGCGTCGGCGGCCTCTTAGGCGACAGCTTCGCGTTCATCGGCGTCGGCACGACGGAGGCCTGGACGTTCCTCGCCGTCTTCAACACGCTCGCGCTCCTCATCTACTGGTGGCCCGGCGAGACGAAGTGCGGCCCGCTCACGGCGACGGGCCACCTCCCCGAGTACGTCGACAACGGAGTCGCGCACTGCGCGCTGTTCAGCGGCCTCTACGCCGGCGGCGCCTACCTGGGCTGGTACGACTTTGGGGTCCTCTTCGACGTCTTCGGCCCCACCGTCGGCGCGCTCAACGCCTTCGGCCTCGTCTTCTGCGTCTTCCTCTACTTTAAAGGATTGCACTCCCCGTGCACGAAAGACAGCGGCACGTCGGGCGGCGGCTTCGTCTTCGACTACTACTGGGGCATGGAGCTCTACCCGCGCATCTGCGGCGTCGACGTGAAGAAGTTCGTCAACTGCCGCTTCTCCATGACCTTCTGGCAGCTCGCGGGCGCGTGCTACGCGTACCGGTCCTATACTATCCACGGGAAGCTCGACCCGGGCCTCTTCCTCGCGGCCGTGTCCCAGTACGTCTACCTGGTCAAGTTCTTCGTCTGGGAGATCGGCTACATGCGGTCCATCGACATCATCGTGGACCGCGCGGGCTTCTACGAGACGTGGGGGTGCATCGTCTGGGTGCCCACCGTCTACACGCTGCACTCGCGCATCTGCGTGACGTCGCCGTCCCAGCTCTCCTGGCCCGCGGCGCTGGCCATCTTCGGCGTGGGCATCGCCGGCGTGGGGTTGAACTACTGGGCGGACAACCAGCGCATGACGTTCCGCGAGAAGAAGGGCGACTGCCTCGTCTGGGGGAGGAAGCCCGTCTACATCGAGGCCAAGTACGTCACGGTGGACAAGGCGACGGGCGTCCTCCAGGAGCACGACTCGCTCTTGCTCGCCTCGGGCTGGTGGGGCCAGGCGCGCCACCTCCAGTACTCGTTCGAGCTCACGGCCGCGTGGTCCTGGGGGCTCCTCGCGAACCCGGCGGTCAACGGGCCGCTGCCGCTCTTCTACGCCGTCTTCCTCACGATCCTCCTCATCCACCGCGCCATCCGCGACGAGGAGAAGTGCCTCAAGAAGTACGGCCAGTACTACGAGCAGTACATGGACATCGTCAAGTACAAGATCATCCCGGGCGTCTACTAGGGGGCGCGCGCGGCCGCCGCCCCCGTTGGAGATCCCAAGTTTAAATGCCGTGGGCGAGCGCGTACCAGAGGAAGGCGCCCGTGACGACGAGCGCGAGGGACAGGACGTCGTCCTCCTCCCAGGGCACGGTCCACGCCTCGCTCCGGTCGTACTCCACGGGCGCGTCCTGGTTCCCGCGCGGCGGCTTCACGAGGAGCCGCTCGAAGAGCGCGGGCTCGACGCGGTTCGCGCGGCGCATGGGCCCGGCCTCGCGCGCGTCCGTCGGCGCGCCCTCCAAAGCTCGCACGCACTCCGAGAGCACGGGGTCCGCCGCCTTGTCGTCGCAGTCCTTCAGATAGGCGACGACGGCCTCGACCGCCGTCGCCTCGCGCTTGAGGATGAGGTGCGCCTGGAGCGCGGCCCACCGCGTCGTGCCGACGGCCGCGTCCTCGGAGAAGCGGTAGCCGTCGAAGATGGCCTGGAGCTGCGCGAGGTCCGCCGCGCCGCCCTCGGAGTCGCCGTACTCGTCGATCTCCGCCATGATGCCGGAGAGGCTCACGATGGCCAGCGCGTCCGCCGACTCCGCGGGGCCGAAGCGCGGCGGCCGCCGCGCGGCGGCGTCGTCGGGGAGCCGCAGCGCCCTCGCGTCCTCAACCCGCAAATCGTGGAAGCTCACGGCCGCCGCCGCGGCGTTCGCCTCGACCTTCTTCACGGGCAGCCCGAGCGCGTGGCCGACGACGAGGTGGCCCGCCTCGTGGCGGATGAGCCGCGCGCGGTACGCCGGGAAGAGCGACACGTAGAGCCGCGTCGCGAAGCGCTGGAGCTCCTCGGGCAGGGTGAGGCCCAGCGTGAGGTAGCCGTACGGCGCGAAGCAGAAGAGTTGCACGACGGTGAACCGCAGGATCTCCGGCAGGAACGTGAGGAACTGCATGGACGCCACGGCGGAGAGGATCGAACTCAGGAAGACGCCCGCGAAGAGCACGGCGAGCTTCTCCACCGACTGGCCGCCGAGCGCGCCGACGGCGTCCGCGAGCTCGCCGTCGCAGCGCGTCGTCGTCCGCAGCTGCGCGAGCGACACGGCGTAGGCGGGCTGGAGCTCCGCGGATTTGAAGCGCGGCGCGGCGCCCCGCGCCTTGAGCGACTCGAGCGCCGCGTCGGCCGTCGACCGCGACGCGTCGGCGGCGTCGAGGAGGGCGAAGACGCGCTCCTCCGGCAGCTCCGACGGCGCGACGAGGCCGGCGTGGAGCGTCGTCGTGCGGCGCGTCGACGAGGGCGTGAGAAAGGCCGTTGATCCGGGTGCGAGGAGCAGGAGCGCTGCGGCGGCGACGCGCATCGGCCGAGCTCGAGAGGTCCGCCTCATCATCGGCATCGGCCGAGCGCCTATGGTCCACCTCATCGCGGGGTGAAGATGAAGCTGCGATGCACCGATGTTGCAGCGCTGCAGCTGCGCCAGCTGCGCCCGGACTCTAGCCCCCCACTGGCAAGATCGACCCCCGTACCGCAGCACCTCGCTAAAAACGAGGCGCCTTACACCGTCGCCGTGTTGCCGAGGTCGTCGCCCTTGGCCGGGGGCGGCGTCGCGGTCGCCGTGGACACGGGCATCGCCGCGGCCGCGCCGACGGGCATGGCGCTGACGATGACGGGCGGGGGCGCCACCGATCCGACCTGGACCTCGTGCGCCGCGGCCACGGGCAGGGGCGGCCCCGCCTCGACGTCGCCGCCGCGCCGCGGGAGGCTCGCGAGGCGGTCGAGCAAACGCCGCGCGTACTCGGCCGTCGCGCCCGTGAGCGCCACGAAGAAGAGACTCACAAAAATCCCGACGACGTTGAGCGTCACGAGGTCGATGAGCAGCGCGATGCCGTGCAGGGACGCGAAGAAGACGTAGATGCCGAAGAACGCCGTCAGCGAACCGCAGCCGCTGTTCGCGCAGCAGCACGCGTCGCCGCAGCAGGGCGCGTTGCGCGTCTTCACGCCCTGGATGCCGAGCCAGTAGACGTAGCAGGCCCAGGACACCCAGAAGAGCCAGAGGAAGACCGTGAGGCCCGTGTTCGGCGCGCCCCGCGCCAAATTCACGACGAGCACGATCGTCCTGATGAGCGAGTTCACGATGAAGTTCGTCGCCGCGAGCTTCAGCACGATCTCCGACAGCGTGTGCACCTGCGCGTCCTCCGCCGCGCCGTAGCCGGAGGCGATGGTCCACTGGGAGCCGGGCACGGCGCTCGCCATGGGAATGATGGCGACGTAGGCCGGGCCTTGGTCGGGCACGCGCGTGGCGGCGAGCGGGTTCGCCGTCATGGTCGTTTGGGTGGTTTTGGGTTTCGGAGCGAGTTTTCGCGCGAGCGGTGTGCCGAGGCGTCGGGCGGTGTTGGAGTGGCAGAAGCCGACGGCGCCGCGCCGCCGCCACGCTGAAGGCCGGCCACGGGAACAGAGGCCGACGCCGTCAGACGACGATGGCGCTCTCCGCGCTCCGCGGCGTCGCCGCCCGGGGCGCCGGTCCGGCGCTCCGACGGCCCGCCCCGGCCATGAACCTCGCCATCGGGAGCCGGAGCCGGCGGCCGCTCGTCACCCTCACCCAAAAACACGCCCTGGCGCTCCCGCGGTCCGCGATCGACGAGAGACGGCGGGGCATCTGGAGCTTCCTGCGGAACCGCCAGCTCAAGAAGCTCGAGCGCGCCGCGAACGACGCGCCGGAGGACGGCGCGGCGCAGATGACCTTCGTGCGCGCGCTCGCGGCGGAACATCCCGAGGCGGCGCTCCGGCGCATCGAGGCGCTGTCGCCCGCGCAGCACGAGGCGCTCCTCGAGCCGTTGACGCGCGAGTACCTCAAGGCCCTCGTCGCCACGGGCCAGATGGACACGGCGCCCCTGGCGGACGTCAAGGCGCGGCTCGCGGCCGCGTCGGCGGCGGCGGCGACGGCGGCCAAGGCGGGCGCGGCCGCCGAGGCCGCGGGCGCGGCGTCGGCGGCGCCGCCCGCGGCCGCCGCCGGCGCCTTCGCCGGCGCGTCGACGTCCTTCGTGCCGCCCGTCGGCGCCGCCGCGGCCCTGGGCGCCGCGGGCACGGCCGCGAACCCCGTCCAGGTCGCCGTCGTGCAGGCGGGCTGGCGCCAGCAGCTCTGGCGCACGCTGCGCGTGCTCGCCGTGGCCTTCATCGCGTTGAGCGCCTTCGGCGCGCTCATGGACGACCGGGGCATGTCGAGCCGCCTCGGCGCGGCGTCGACGGCCGTGCACACGGCCGAGAACAGCGACAAGCGATTCTCGGACGTCATGGGCGTCGACGAGGCCAAGCAGGAGCTCGAGGAGATCGTCATGTTCCTGAGCGACCCGACGCGCTTCACGCGCCTCGGCGGCAAGCTGCCCAAGGGCTGCCTCCTCATGGGGCCGCCGGGCACGGGCAAGACGCTGCTCGCGCGCGCGATCGCGGGCGAGGCGGGCGTGCCGTTCTTCTACGCGTCCGGCTCCGAGTTCGAGGAGATGTACGTGGGCGTCGGCGCGCGGCGCGTGCGCGACCTGTTCGAGGCGGCGAAGAAGCGGAGCCCCTGCATCATCTTCATCGACGAGATCGACGCGATCGGCGCGTCGCGCCATTTGAAGGAGCAGCAGGCGATGAAGATGACGCTGAACCAGCTCCTCGTGGAGATGGACGGCTTCGAGCAGAACCACGGGGTGATCGTGATCGGTGCCACGAACATCGCCGACTCCCTGGACCCGGCGCTGCTGCGGCCGGGCCGCTTCGACCGCCACGTGTCCGTGCCTTTGCCGGACGTCGAGGGCCGGAAGCAGATCCTGAAATTGCACAGCGGCAAGATCCCCCTCGACGCCGACGCGGACATCGACGCGCTGGCCCGGGGCACGCCGGGCATGTCCGGCGCGGACCTGTCGAACCTCGTCAATCAAGCGGCGTTGAAGGCCGCGCTCGACGGGCTCGACGCCGTCACCACCAAGGCGCTCGACTACGCCAAGGACAAGATCCTCATGGGCGCGGAGCGCCGGTCCGCCGTGCTCACGAAGGAGACCATGAAGATGACGGCCTACCACGAGGGCGGCCACGCGCTCGTCGCCATGCTCACGTCCGGCGCGGACCCGGTGCACAAGGCGACGATCATGCCCCGGGGCCAGGCGCTCGGCATGGTCCAGCAGCTGCCCGAGGGCGACCAGACGTCCATCTCCCGCAAGCAGATGCTCGCGCGCATGGACGTGTGCATGGGCGGCCGCGTCGCCGAGGAGCTCATCTACGGCGCCGACGGCGTGTCGTCGGGCGCGTCGTCCGACATCTACCAGGCGACGCGCCTCGCGCGGAACATGGTCACGAAGTGGGGCTTCTCCGACGAGGTCGGCGTCGTCTACCACAGCGGCAAGTGGAACGCCGACGACGCGCCGGCGCCGGAGACGCGCGCGGCCATCGACCGCGAGGTCCAGAAACTGCTCACGGATTCGTACGGTCGCGCGACGAAGCTCCTCGTCGACAACCGCGCGCTCCTCGACGCCGTCGCGACGACGCTCATCGACCGCGAGACGCTCACGGGCAAGGACCTCCAGGACCTCGTCGCGTCGCAGACGTCGGAGCCCGAGCCGCCCGTCGCCGTCGAGCCGCCGAAGACGACGATCTCCGTCGCCGCGGGCGCGCCCGTGCCGGCGAAGCCCGCGGCCGCCGTCGCCTAGGGTTCGGCCGGCTCGCGCGCGGCCCGCCCGCCCGCGACCCGCAGAGAAACAATCAACACCCCCTCGTCGAGTAACGCCCGATCCTGTTCACGCCAAGCCTGGCAGTGCTTTCCCTTCACCTTGATGTGGATTTGCGCGACGACGATGGTGATGTAACACCGAGACGATGACGGCGCGGCGGACCTGTGTCGTCGTCGCGGCGCTGCTGGCCTTGGGCTGCCGGACCGGCGTGTTCTCGCGGCGGCGCCCCAAGCGGCGCGCGCCGAAGAAGAAGCAGCCCGGGATCACGCAGCCCCGGACGTCGCGTCGTCCGCCGAGGAACGCGTCGTCGCCCCAGCGGTGCTCGAGCTGGAACGCGGACCGCGCGGCGGCCGCCGGCGGCGCCTGCGGCGTCGCCGACGCGGCGCTCGACGCCTGCGGCGTCCAAGCGAAGCTCGCGGCGCCGACGACGCAGTGGGCGGCGGACCGGTGCCGCGGCTGGCCCATGCTCGAGCGGTCGCTCGGCGTCGTCGCGCGCGCGACGAACGTCACGGCGGCCTGCGCCGCGCGCGACGCCGCAAAGCCCTGCGGCTTCGACGTCGTCGACTGCGCGAAAACCGGGCGCCTCGGCGGCGTCCGCGTCGCGCTCGCGGTGTCGGGCGCGGCGCTCGACGCCGCGGCGTCGGAGCGCGTCGACGACGACACGATCCGCGTGACCTGGGTGCCGCCGGTGCCCGGCGCCTACGCCGCCCGGGCGACGTTCCACTTCTACTACCAGGACCGCGCCGCGCGGCCGGTCGACGCGTTCCCCGAACGCGGGCGGCCCGTCTTCCTCGGCGCCGTCGAGAACCGCTGCCCCGGCGGCCGGCCCTGCGCGGACAAGCGCTTCCGGGACGACTGCGACGCCCTGGCCCTCGTGCCCCTCGCGCCCCTGACCTTCGCGGCGGCCGCGGCCGCCGCGGCGCCGCCGCCGGCGACGGCGGCGTGCCGCGGCGGCGGCGCGGGCCACTGGATCCGGGCCGCGTCGGCGCGCGACGCCGCGCTGCTCACGGCGGGCAAGGCGGACCGCGTCCCCTGGGACTTTTCCCGCGACGGCTGCTCCTACCACCACTTCTCCGCCGACGAGGCGTTCGCGTGCCTCCGGCGCCGCGGCGCGCGCGTGCTCGCGTTCCTCGGCGACTCCATCGTCCGCGACCTCTACGAGGCCGTCGCCGCGCGCCTCGAGGTGAAAATCGACGTCGGCGCGATCAAGGCCGTGCGCTTCGGCGGCGCGGACGCGGACGCCGCGGCCGCGGCCCGGGACGCGGCGACGGCGACGAGCCACGAGACGCGGCTCCACTACGAGCAGATCTGGGGCATCGACAACCTCTGGCGCCTGGGGCTCATCGGCGACGACGCGCTCTGCTGCGGCTTCGCGCCGAAGAGGCCCCGGAAGGTCGCGGGCCTCGACGTCGACGGCCTCTTCGGCGGCGCGCCGGGCGGCGAGATGGTCGTCGTCGCCAACTGGGGCCTCCTCCACATGCCCGGCAGCGCCCTCAACGGCCGCTTCGGCAACTGGACGCGGACCGCGCTCGCGCGGCTCGGCGCGTTCGCGAACCACGAGAACGCGACGCTCCGCGTCGTCCTGCTCGGCGCGCCGTCGCTCCTCGGCCTGCGGAACCCGGGCATGCACCCGGACCAGCTCGCGGCCTTCGCGACCGTCATGCGGACCGTCGCCGCCGAGTTCGCGGACCTCGACGTGTCCGTGCTCGACGTCGCGCCGTTCTCCGCGAGCCGCTGGGACGCGACGTACGACGGCATGCACTTCGGCGGCACGGTCACGCAGCTCGCCGTCGACGCGCTCCTCGGCCTCTTCTGCGACGGGGCGACGTAAGTTGGCTGTGGCCATGGAACGCTCATGGAGGCACCATGCCATGGAGGTTGCCGTGCAGCGCTTCATCTTTAGCCCGGAATCCGCTCGACAGAGGCGTCGTCGACGCGACGATAGCTGCCGGCTTCGCGAGCGCGTCGCGCCGCCGTAGACGCGGCGGCTTCGGGAGCCTTCTCGTCGCTAGCCGCGCGCCGCCGCGGCGCATCGCGTCGCTCGCCGCGCCGCCATGGCTCGGCGACGCGGCCCGGAGTCCTCCGGCGGCGCGGGCTGTTATTACGTCGTCGTCCTGGGCCTGCTCGTGAGCGGGTTCCTCATCGGCTACCTGAACACGGGCAGCTACGAGGCGCCCGCCGGCGGCGGCGCCCCCGCCGGGTCGCCGGCGCGGAATCTGCGCAAGGGCGCGTCGCAGAAGCACGACCCGGAGCGCGAGGTCCAGGTCGCGCTCGAGGAGGCCGCGCTCAACGAGCCGCTGGACCCGAGCACGTGGGGCAAGATCCCCGCGGCCGTGCCCGAGGGCGCGGCCGTCGACTGCAGCGGCGCGCCGCCCGACGGCTACCCGACGAAGTGGGCCATCAAGGACATCGTCGCCAACTGGAACCCCGACGACATGGTCGTGCCCGACCAGATGTACCAGTCCGTCTGCCGCTTCGACTACGCCACGGAGCTCGCGCAGGCGATTCGGTACCGCGACGCCGAGGTGCCCTTCCAGCTCTACAACGTGCCCGCCATGAACGAGATCGCGCGCAAGTGGGCCGACCCGGCCTACATGCGGCGCAAGCTCGGCGCGTCGACGAAGTACAAGTGCGAGGCGTCGAACCCCGGCGGCGAGGTGAACCACGGCGCGAACCACTTCATGTACACGAACGGGCGCGCGGCGAAGAACCCGCCGATCAAGAACGTCAAGCTCTCCTGGGACGACTGGCTCGGCAAGGTCGAGGCGGCGAAGAACAAGTCCATATTGGAACCCGACAGCCGTTTTTACTTCCGGTTCTCCGCGACGTCCGCGTCCGACGCGGGCTCGGGATGGCTCTTCAAGGAGCTCACGTTCTTCCAGCCCAAGCCCAACATCTTCTTCAAGGAGCCCAAGCAGCAGCGGGGCATCCACTGCCGCTTCGGCATGACGGGCGTCATCGCCGAGGCGCACTGGGACGGCAGCCGCAACATGGTCGGCCAGTTCTACGGGCGGCGCCGCTACGTCCTCGTGGACCCCGACGACTCCTGCGACATGTACCTCCTGGCCAAGAACCACCCGTCGGGCCGCCACTCCGAGGTCGACTGGTCGAACCCGGACTCGTGGGACAAGTTCCCGCGGTTCCCGACGATGAAGGCCCACGAGGTCGTCCAGCGGCCCGGCGACTTCCTCTACCTCCCGACCTACTACCTCCACTACATCATCTCCATCGACACGAACTACCAGTGCAACACGCGCTCCGGCAAGGACGACCGCCAGGCCCAGGTCGTCAACCAGTGCACGCCGGGCTTCACGAAGGAGAAGCGGGACAAGAAGAAGCCCAAGCGGAAGGAGTAAGATTACGCGTCGGGGAACTTCGCGTTGGAGAAGACCGCGGCGACGTCGGGGTGGTCCTCGAGCGCGAGGAGCGCGCCGCCGACGGCGTCCGCGTCGCCGACGTCGACGTCCGTCGCCGGCCGCCAGACGAGCTCCGTCGCCGCGACGTGGAGGCCCGCGGCGGCGAGCGCGTCGCGCACGGCCGCCGCCGACGCCGGGTCGCTCCGCACGAGGACCTCGGCGCCGCCCGGCGAAAAGTCGTCGACGTCGTCCGCGCCGGCCTCGAGCGCCGCGTCGAAGAGGGCCTCGTAGGCCGCCGCGTCCAAGGCGGCCGCCGGCGCGCCGTCGCCGTCGCGCGCGGCGGCCTCGACGCGGAGCTCGCCGACGCGCGCCCAGGCCCAGGCGACGGAGTTCCGCGCGCCGAGCGCGCCGCCGTGCTTCTTGAAGATGGACCGCACGTCGTTGGCCGTGCGGTTCTTGTTGTCCGTCAGCGCGTCGACGACGACGCCGACGCCGCCGGGCAGCGTGCCCTCGTACGTCAGCTGCTCGACGTCGGCGCCGGCGGCCTTGCCCTCGGCGCCGCGCGCGATCGCGGCCTCGAGCGTCTTCTTCGGCAGGCGCTGGTCCTTGGCGCGCGAGATCGCGCTCGCGAGGCCGATGCTCGACCGGTCGCCCTTCGCCACGCGGCTCGCCACCTCGACGTTGCGGCTCAGCTTGGCGAAGAGGTCGCCGCGCGCCGCGTCCAAGCCGCCCTTTTTCTTGCGAATGTTGGCCCACTTACTGTGGCCGGCAAAGTGCCGGCGCTGGCCGGCGCGACGCATCGATTGGCTGGTCGCATGGCTGCTGTGTACGAGCGAGCGCGCGCGCATCGCTTGGCTGGTCGCATGGCTGCTGTGTACGAGCGAGCACGCGCGCATCGCTTGGCTGGTCGCATGGCTGCTGTGTACAAGCGAGCGCGCGCGCATCGCGTGTCGGCCGCTGGCAAGCAGGCCAGGCTGTGGAATGGGAAACATTGACCCGAGTGCACCTCAGATGCAGTCTCATTACGTTCCACGATTAGAGGCTGCCCATCGCAGAGTGTGTCGGCTTTGTCTACGCGCGCCGTGGGTGCTGCAGCGCATCGCAAAAAGCACAAACACACCATGCCCGACGAGCGCGCCGTGCGCGGCAGCGACCTGTCGCTCCTCGTGCTGCCCGAGTTCTACGAGGTCGTGCGCCTCGCACCGACGGCGCCCATTCCCGCGGACCTCTTCGCGTGCGCGGACCCGAACGCCGTCGTGTCCATCACGCGCACGGCCGACGAGCTGTCGATCATCCGGCCGCGCGGCGCGCGGCGCATCGACGGCGAGACGCGCGAGGAGGGCTGGCGCGCGCTGAAAGTCAAAGGTCCGCTGCCGTTCCACCTCGTGGGCGTGCTGAGCCACCTGTCGGCGACGCTCGCGGCGGCGGGCGTGTCCATCTTCGTCAACAGCACCTACGACACGGACTACGTGATGGTCAAGGACGACAAGCTCCACGCGGCCGTCGACGCTTTGAAGGCCGGCGGCTCCGCCGTCGACGGCGCGCCGGTTCCCGCGACGCGCTTTCTCGCCCAGGAGCCGAGCATCGTCGAGCCCGAGGACGCCGGCGCCATCGTCGTCGTGTCCTTGACGTCCGCGGGCTCGTCCTACCACGCGGACCTGCGACTGAAACCCGAGCTCTGCCTCGAGGCCTGCGGCCATTTCAAGCAGTGGTTCTGCTTCGAGGCGCGCGGCATGCCCGTCGGGGGCACGGCGTCGTTTTCCATCTTGGACGCGGGCGAGTCCACGTTCAGCGACTGGCACGGGTACAAAGTCGCGATGCTGAGAGGCACGGCCTGGGACCGGGTCGCGGCGACGACGTTCGAAGACGGCGTGCTGTCCTGGACGCTCGAGGGCAACGCGACGTCGTCGGCGACGTTCGCGTACTGGCCGACCTACTCCCTGGAGCGGACGCGGGCGCTGTGCCTCGAGGCGCAGGCGACGCTCGGCGCGGAGCGCGTCGCCATCGGCGCGACGGTCGACGGGCGCGACGTCGAGTGCCTCGTCTTCGGGGGCCCGCGGACGCCGGAGAAGCGCCTCGTCTGGGTCCAGCACCGCCAGCACCCGGGCGAGGTCGCCGCGTCCTGGTTCGCCGAGGGCGTCGTGCGCCGGCTCGCGGGCCACGGCCTCCTGGAACGCGCGACGGTCGTCGTGCTGCCCAACCTCAACCCCGACGGCTCGCGGCGGGGCTACCTCCGCGTGAACGCCGCGGGCGCGAACCTGAATAGGTGCTGGGGCGCATTGAACGGCGTCGCGCCGGGCCTCGGCCAGAGCGCGCCGCCCGCGCCGGAGACGGCCGCGGCCATCGCCGCGATGCGGCGCCTCGGCGGGCCCGACGTCATGCTCGACGTGCACCAGGACGAGGAGAAGCCCTACGTCTTCATCTCGAAGACTCCCCTCGGCGCGCCGAACTGCGACGACCGCATGCGGGCCCTCCACGCCAAGTTCCACGACGTCTACCGGCGGCGGTCGCCCGACTTCGAGACGCCGGGGCCCGTGGACCCCGTCGGCTACCCCGAGCCGCCGCGCGGCGGCGCGAACCTCAACATCTGCTCCGCGGCCGTCGCCCAGGCCTTCCCCGGCTGCCTCGCCATGACCCTGGAGATGCCCTACAAGGGCAACGACAACGCGGGCGCGGTCGCGAAGCTCGGCTTCACGCCGAAGCAGGCCGTCGACCTCGGCGCGGCCGCGGTCGACGCGATCGCCGACATCCTCCCGGACCTGCCGCCGCGCCGAACCTAACAAAAATTTTACCGGGACGCGCCCTTGATCGTCTCGCTGACCTCCTCGAGGCCCGCCAGGGGCGGCACGTAGCCGCGCTTCGCCGCCTCGCGGCCGAGGTCCTCCATGAAGGCGCCGTGGTCGTCCGCGCGGGCGAGCGCGACGACGAGCACGCCCGCCTTCTTCTTGTAGGTCGCCTTGGTCTTCGCGGGGTCCACGCGGGCCTGGAGCGCGACGGCGAGGACGGCCCGGCCCGGCACGGCGACGCGGACCGTCGCGCCGTCGCACTCGATGCCCTCGGCGCGGACGCCCGCGGGCAGCCGCACCGTGAGCTCGTAGCCGCCGTCCGTCGGACGCAGGGCGTGGTCCGGCGTGTCCAGGACGGGCTCCTCCTCGAGGTCGATGTCGTCCGCGGGGAGGTCGTCGTCGTCGTCCGGCGCCGCGGACGTCACGGGGTCGCTCCAGCCGCCGTCGTCGTCGTCGTCCGCCGCGGACGTCACGGGGTCGCTCCAGCCGCCGTCGTCGTCGTCGTCGTCGTCCGCCGTCACGGAATCGCTCCAGCCGCCGTCCGCGGTCGCGGCGCCGTCGTCGACGGCGGCCAGCGCGTCGCTCCAGGCGCCGTCCATGTCGAAGCCGTCGTCCGTCGCCTCGAGGACGTCGACCTTCCCGGGCTCCGCCGCCGGCGCCTTCTTCTTTTTCTTCTTCTTCTTCGACGCCGCGGGCTTCGTCTCGCGCGGCGGCGGCGCCGCCTTCGTCGCCGCCGCCTCCTTCTTCGCCGCCGCCTCCTTCTTCGCCGCCGCCGCCGCCTTGTGCTTCGCCGCCTGCTTGAGCGCGCCCGGCGCGCGCTTCGCGACGACGGCGCGGACGCCCGCGAAGGCCGGGTCCTCGCGGAGCGCGGTGATCGCGCGCCGCGCCTCGGGATCGAGCGCCTCGATCTCCGCGTCGGACAGCGCGAGCGCGCGCGCCGCGGCCTCGACCTGGCCGTCGTCGAGGTTCGCGTCCTCGGCGTCGCGCTCGAAGGACTCGGCGATCTTCGCCCGCGCCTCGTCGACGAGGCCGAGGCGCGCCGCGGCCGCGCGCACGCGCTCAAAGGCCGGGCCCTCGCGGACGCCGCGGAGCTTCTCCTTCGCGTCGCCGTCGTTCCCCGCGGCGGCCGCGACCTGCGCGTCGGTCATGCACATGGCCTGCGCGACGGCGTGGAGCATGTCGACGTCGACGTCGAGCTCGGCCGCCGCGGCCTCGACGGGCGTGAGCGTCTTTTTGGCCTTGAGCGCGGCGCGCTTCGCGTCGCGGTCCGCGGCCGCCTTGGCCTCCTTGGCGGCGCCGATGCTGCGTAGCGCCGCGACGCGCTCCTTGACGCCGGCGACCTCCGACGCGGCGGCGCGGTACTCCGCGAAGTCGCCGCGGTGGAGCATCATCTCGACCTTCTGGCGCGTCGGGCCGTCGAGGCCCGCC